AGCAATTAGTTAACCAGAAACCAAGAAAATAATTTAGGAACGGGGAAGTATTACATATTTACAAAGCCTATTAGTCTAAACTATTTTGTATTGTTATAACGGAATTGAGTAATCGAAAACAAACAAAAACATAAAGAGACGATACAGATTTAACGTGGTTCATCAACGTTGTGTTGGCTACGTCCACAGGCCAGACAAGAACGGAGATCAGATTATATTATGATGACGGAGATTGAAACTAGGCACACAGGACGGGTCAGGCCCAATATGACAATTAGGGCTCAATACAACAACATAGATTCAAGGCATACTAACACATATAAATTATTAATTGGGCAAGGTTTCCATGACATGGGATGACCCGGGGGTTCTCCGGTGTCCCGTTTGTAAAATTGACGGTTCCTACCCCCCTAACCCTCCTGGTAAACGCCCCCACCCCGCCCTGACCCAAACACACACCCCCATCCCCTCCAATTGCACCCCACAAGTTGATTTTGACTTTGGAGTCAAAATTTGACTCCAAAGTCAAAATCAACTTATGAGGTGCAATTGGAGGGGGTGGGGGGCGTGTTCAGGTCGGGGCAGGGTGGGGAGGTTTATCGAGGGGGTTAGGGGGGTAGGAACCGTCAATTTTACGAACGGGGTATCGGAGCACCCCCGGGTCATCCCATGATATTGGTTCCCAATGTCACGAGAACCTTGGTGTAATTAATTTGATATATGAATTATAAAGAGATCATTCTCAATAGATGAAAACTCATAATAGACTTACTTTCAAAAGCTAAAAACTCAAGGACATTGTAAAAATAATTGTACTTGCTTGGCAACATTTCAGTATTTTACTTTAGAATTTTGAAAATGTTATATAATCACAGTGTTTAGCTTTAGTTTTTCAAAGTTAACTAGACTCGTGCTCGTGCAATGCACGGGCTGTAAAATTACTTATATTTAGTCTTGGTTTGGAATAACATAAAATGATACAAAAATTAAAAGATTGCAAATTTTATTAAAATTGCCCAAAATAAGGTAGTGTACAGTAAGGACTGTAGTCGATATGCAGTGTTATAAGTTTTGGAACACTTCTTTATAAACTACATTCATAGTTTGGTTTGTTGACGGAAGGTCTTTCTTGCAAATCAATATCTTTAACCCCTCGCGACTTGTAGCACGTGAAATTGCAACATAGAGTTGACCATGACTAAATACTGATTTCTTCAGTAGCAATCCAACATGCGACAAAGATTAGCCTTGACTTTTGTTAATTGTCATTGCGTATGAAGTCATGATTGGGAATTGTTTCCTTTGAAATCTAAAAGGAATTCTTGCATCTGAAGGTGTAAGCGACAATCGTGGGATAACAACTTCTTGCCCGACATTTTTTCCTGTCATCACTATGCCTTGAATAAGATGATTGCCAAGTCGAGTTACTATCAACCTTGTTCCATTGCACAAACCTGATGATTGATCAATATTTCTCAACAACATAATGGGTGTTCCAACCTTCAACTTCAGTTCATGATTTGGGACACCAGATGCTCGTATGTTGTTCAAGAATTCCAGAGAATGTAAGTCTGTCAAAAAATCTGCATTTGAATCAGACGTCACGCTGCATCAGAGCTAAAGTAGCTTTTCGCTTCTCCAACGTTGTTCAATGATATCATGTAGTCATTGATTTCATCCACAACATCTAGAGTTGGTGCAAGAATTGCCCCATTCTGCAAATATGTGGGATCATTTGCGATATTGTGGAAGTCTGGATACGTTGAATAAACTATAGTTCCTAAAGGATCATTCGTGCTTTTTAACATGTCGTCAGGGATAATAATTTCATTGGATCCTTCGTTTTCCTCTCCAGCTATGCCATCACTGATGCTTGTCATCCACTCCCCAAATTCTGACATGCTCTCATAATTCTTATCGCGAGACATCTGTTCCAAGCGCATGTTTTTGTCAAGCGTAACACTGTGCAATAGTTCCATAGATATGATGAGTTAATGGCCGCATTCACAATGTCTTGTCTTCTCCCTTTAGGAATGACGGGTAAAATTTGCCGAAAATCTCCTTCAAACACAATGGTTTTCCCTCCAAATGGATACTCAGCATTTGATGCATTAAAAACAGACATTACATCGCGTAGACTTCTATCTAGAGCTTCAAAACAGTACTTGTGTGTCATTGGTGCCTCATCCCAAATTATTAGTTTCGTTCTAACTAATAAATCAGCCAAAGGTATTCCTTGTTTTATGTTACGGGTGAAATTTTCATGAGGATTAATTGGAATTCCAAAACGCGAGTGTGCAGTTCTTCCCCCGGGTAACAATAATGAAGCAATACCACTAGATGCAACATTTAACACAATTTCTCCTTTGGAACGAAGGGAATTAAGAAGACAAAGTTTTCCAAACAAAGTTCTTTCCAGTTCTGCCATATCCATATAAGAATAAACTTTCCCCTCATCCAAGTCGACAAAAGACATCACACTTTCATAAGTTGTACGCTGTTTGCTATTCAACAATGCCAAAACAGTTCTCGTGATCAGCTGCCATTGCTACGCGGTCATATTGTAGTTCATCAAGGATCAGTGTGTTACGGCTCGTAGTTGTCTAAAATAGGGAAAGACATATCAATGAAGTCTTGAAGACTTTTTCCACGCATAATAAGCAACATTTCAATTTAAATCAAGGCGTAATTCTTGATTTGATCCTCGGTTAACATCAAACCTACACATTAAAGAGTTAAAGTATATATGAAAACATGTTTTATGTATAGAACTTCTAATTATAGTTAAATAGTACCTTGATGACTTAGAAGACAACGTTGGCGATGTAGAATATCATCGGCCATGAATTCCCAACATTGTTCCCAAACATGTTTTGGTCTAGACATTGAATCGTTTGTGAGGAGTGTTACAAATAAAAACCTCAATTGATTGGCCGAACACAACTGACTTGCTTCTTTGAAACCATCTATGTACTCCCTATCATCATCTAGCAATCTCATAGCATAGCATGCATCGCGATAAGTGTTGTGAACAACACCATTGACAGTTTTTAGATCTTCGTATGTTCAATAAGTGTTGTGAACTATATATGTTCAATAGAATTCTCATGTAATAAGATTCTCCAGAGCCTAGAGGAACATAGATAACACGGCCTATAGCAAAACCTTTCATTCGGGGTTCGTACTCTCTTTTACCATCCTTCTAAACAAACTTTTGAGGGAACTCGGCATACGTTAAAGTCTTTGCCAAAGGATATTTCTCATTTGCTTTCATCCAAGCAAGAAATTTACTCTCCCGTCTGCTTTCTAGAGTGTAAACATCACTTGCATCATCATCATCTTCAAAAAACTCGAGGACATTGTAAAAATAATTGTACTCGCTTGGCAACATTTTCAGCATTTTATTTTAGCATTTTTGAAAATGTTATGTAATCAGAGTGTTTAGCTTTAGTTTTTCAAAGTTAATTTGTATCATTAGAAAATAATTCTAATTCAAAACATTGAGGCTATTTGAAAATGATTTTATCAAGCGAAGCAATTATTATTTGGTGGTTACTCTGGTATCAAATTAAGATTGTTATGTACTCTCCATGATCTATGCACCTTATATATAAATATTTGTACTTTGTAACTGTATTTTATTTTGTTTAAAATGTTAAGACTTAAGACTCTTGTTTGTGCCCCTAACTGTTTGATTTGCTAGAGTCCTGTTTATTTTTTCTTTTCTTGTTTGGCCATATTTAATTTGATTTATTTCATTTAGCTATTCAAAAACTTCCAAATGGCATGTAATTTAGATCAATTAATCTTGATGTGTTCTCTGCTCAATGTTTCAGATATTATGTAAACTAAAATTATTTCACGAAATTAAATCTGAAGCTGATTGAATCGGGTTGGAATAACGATATAAACTCTGATGCATTCTCGAAGTATTGACGTGCCAAGAAAATCTAAGAGTAATATTGTATAATCAGTCAAATCCAAGAATATTTGTGTGAAATTTTCTTCTTTGCATATTTTTATTGGAAACCCCGAGCATAGAATTCAAGAAACTTTGCCCCCCTTCTTGGAAAAGCTTAGGAACATGGGGATGGCCGCATCGATCAACTAACGTGAGAAGGAAGATATTTTTGTCCAAATCGATCAACAACACTTCGTCGGGAGCCATCACGACGCCGTTGCTATGTCACTGCAACCACCACCATCTGATCTATTTCTACAAATTATCGTGAAAACAAACAAAATTTTGATATTAATTTTTATAGACTTCAATGCTAGGGTTGCCGAGGGAAAGTAGTCTTCAATTCCTAACTTTAACAAACCTTACAAACTACTCCCTCCGTCCCGTTTTAAATCGCATGTTTTGACTTTTTGGCATATTTAAGGAAAAGAAAAAATAGAGTTAATTTTCCGAAATTGTCAGTACTTTTCAGAAGGGATGACGATGAATAAGAAGATAAGGTGGAGAAAAATGACTTATTTTAGAGGTAGTTTAGGTATTTTACTCTTAAAAGTTTACGAAAACAACTAACAGACAACTTATTTTGGGACGGAGAAAAAAGGCAAACAGGCAATTTAAAATGGGACGGAGGTAGTACTCTCTAGTGTCGTACCTACATTTTGTGTTAGGACAAGACTAACCTCAGCATACAAAATGAGATACAAATATGAGATATCAATAGAATTTCCTACAATAAATGAATGGTCGTGGGCAATATGAGGGACACAAATTAACTCTGCGAAAGAAAATGTTACCAAGTACTGGGAGTATTTTACATCCCCGTCTGCACCACTTTACTTTTCTGTGCTTCATGTAACATTATCTTGTTTAAAGTCTTGAAAACTATTTTAGCATTATTTGCATTTCAATTTCAAAATTTAAGTTCTTAAATTTCAAATGGCAAATGAAAGCATATAGATTTATTATTGAGCTTTGTTAAAATTTCTTGGTAAAAATGACCTCAAATTCAAACACAGAATTGCTAAAATCACCCAACATAGAATTTGAGCTAACTCGGATTTAAGATACAAATTCTAAAACATGCCATTGAACAAAATCAATAACAAGGTGAGTTTTTAGGGATGCTTTGATGGAGGCACATAAGAGGAGACCAGCAAAAGCAGACCATAAAACCAGCAAATTTCTATAACAGTTTTCAAGTGACGCCTGCAGATGAAAGTGGCTGATACAGACACATCCCTCGTATACAGAAAAAGACACACAATACTACTATAAACTTTAAGCACACACCCAAAAAAAGAAAAAAGAAAAATATTTGCACAAACTTAGAAAGATGATGAGTAGTAGTAGTTGGTTTCGTCTGGCTTCTGATCATCGGCGTTCATTCATTCATTCATCATCTTGGAGACAGTACTTGCTGAAATGTTTAACCCTGAACTTCCATTCTCCTTTGAGTGGGTCATAGGACACGAACTCGGCACCTTGATCCTCTGCTTTTCTCTTGAGCATCTCTTTGTACTTGTCAACTCTAGGCCCATCGGTGTAGCTCTGACCAGTCTTCTTGTCGACACATTTTATGTTGAGGAGTGTGACCTCAGCAGGTTTGTTGAGACCTTGTCCCACGGGCGGTTTCTTGCTCTCGTCCATGTAAACGATCACCTCTCGGTTGTTGAATTGGACAATGGACTCCAGATCGAGCCTTCGCACATCGGTCTCCCCTATGAATCTTATGCAGCCAAATCCGTGCCTTCCCACGACAAAATTGCTGACATGGCAGATGAATCCAGGTTCGGCCCTTTCCTTGGCTGCCAGCTCTTGGATCTGAGGCACAGTATAGTAATCGGGGTGCCTTAACTTTGGCATTAATGCCTCAATGTCAGCCCCATGTTCATAAACAATTGCAGCTTCACCAGCGCGGTGCCCATTAAGTGTAACCGAAGAGCCTCCCTTCTGGACACCGTTGGGTTTTTGGTTAGCTTTAGGAGGTGGGATAGTTTCCTTAGAGCTACCGTTTTCAGTAAAACCATCTGCAAAACAGGTCCCGGGATAAACGGAAAAAACAGATTAGGTATATTTTATTATCAAGCCCTAGAAAGGATTAATATAATGATCCCTGGTTAGAAACTCCGCTCTAAACAACGTAAGACCGTTAAATGACATAATGTCAGCAGTGGGCACTCTAACACCAGTGTTATTTGAACTGTGCCAATATTTGAAACAAGACTTTTTTATGTTGAGGGAATATTAAAATTTGATCACAAACTCAGAAAGAATCACATTAATCCCAACTAGTGGGTAGTGTCAATTAACTTTAAAGAACTACATAGAACTATACTTTCATGCAAATAAATGGCAATGACTTTACACCAATACCCATCGTCTCATAACCTTTTCAATAGGGAGTGGCAAAAAAATACAAAACCATCACATATCAATACCTTATTACCAATTACTTACACTCAGTAGCATTAACTTTTTAGTTTATAGTTTATACTGTCAATTAATTGCACAAAATTAGACTAAACTATAAATTCAAGAAAAAAGGCTTACTTTCTTTATCACCCTTAGAGACTCCATTAGGTAGAGGAGCAGATGCATCTTCAACAACTTTGCCTGAATAAGTAGAAAAAACAGATTACAAGCCATCAACCCCATGAACTACCAGAAACTATTATAGAATGTAGAAACTACTCAGATTGTTTCGACTAAGCGATCAAAAGGTGAAATAACTTGGTAGTTGTGCTCTCTCTCGCCCTCTCTCCTGTGTCCGGCGCACACACACATACAAAAAACAAAAACTGTCCAAGGAATCTTACTGTTCTCTTCTGTTGTAGAAAATGGTTTCCTCGGACTTGCTCTGGAGGGCCATGTCTCCAATGGATGAATTACCAAAGCTCTTGGATTTTCCCGGGGAACAAAAAAAGCATCTGCCTTTGGTGTGCTAGTTGTCTCTTCCTCGTCAGTAAAGAATGCCACCTTCAGGTAATAGGTTTATTAAAACTACTGCAATTAATTCTCAAAAAGCAGAAAGCATGTATTAGTAGATCACTGTTGAAGAGCTACACATTACAATGAAATGACCAATATAAGACCTTATGCCATTCGGGTTTTGGATGATAATTCCTTGCATGCAACCTGGACCGTCTCTGAGAAAGGTGTCTTGATGTCAATAATGACGATATCCTGACAGGAGCAGGTTTGTCAATAACCTGCTAAAAGATATAAGAACATATCAGATCTACTTTTTGTACATATGCTGGTCTTTAAAGAAATAAATATTGGCAAAAAAGGGTATGCTAAAGTAGCTTATACGAAGTATAACTTATTTTATATATATATATATATATATATATATATATATATATATATATATATATATATATATATATATATATATATATATATATATATATATATATATATATATATATATATATATATATATAAAATCCATGAGCCATCTCTTATCTCCACTTCAATCATAGAGGTTTTGGTTGGTAATATTGCCTACCTATACTGTTTGATACTTACTGGGAGATTAGAGATCCCATACTGTATAGAAGGAGAATTGCCTGTCCGGCCAATTGACATTTGTGGCATCGCAGGCAAGGTTCCAAAAGGATTACTCACAGGTGCTGGTTGTAAAACCAATGAGCTTTGAGTGGTTGGCCTGTGGCAAAAATAGATTCCAGTAAACTCTTGAAGGTTGAAGAATGAATTCAAGAAAACCAAGCACAAATTTAATATGGCAATTATTGAAAAAAATATGTACTAAAAACCAAAAAAAATATCTGCCTCAATCAAATATATTCAAAACTCTATCCCAATGCATTTTAATTCTTTGTCTGCATGGAGCACATGAATGCTGGCAAATAAAAGAATATCCACATAATAAAAAAGAATGTCCACATACGGCTGAAAATTGTTCTGGCCAAACATATTTGTCACCAAAAAGCTATTTGAAGCAGCTGTAAGGTCACAAGAACAGAAAAAACATCAGCACTGTCAGCAAGTTAACTTTCAAAGCAATCTAATAAAAGATGACTTAATGATCAAATTTAGAGATACCTCCTTGTGTTTGGCCAATATTATTAAACATATTGTTCTGAGGGGTCTGAGCTGGTTGAAAAAGTGTTGAAAACGAGGACTGTTCAAGTGGGAGGAAACAAAGTGTTATAAACCAGCACATGTGCATGCAAGAGAGATAATCTGAGATGCCCAATAGGAATCAAGCCCCAACTAAACACAGTGGGCATAAGCAAGGAGCTTTTTGAGCAATTCTTTGTAAAAAAAAGTTTTTTTCATTGTTCGATTAGTCAAACAGCTATAAGTAAGAAGTGTTTGGTAAATAGCTTTTTAGAGACAACTTCTTTGTCCACAATTTTTTACATGTAAAATCAAAATCAGCTCACACAGAACTTATCTTACCAAATAGTTCTTTCTTAAACATCAATCACAAAAGCTAGCCCAAACATATACCCAAAAAGCTAACACAAACACCTAATAGCTATCAGCTTTGTGCCAAAGAGGTCGACAATGAATAAGAAATTCATAACAGCTTTTTAATATAGGGTTTTGACAAACATAGTCCTAAAGCCTGTGTCTAAGAAAAAATTGAATCATCTAATCGGTTGAAATAAAACACTCCACCCTTCTTTTAAACAAGGTCACAACCCTAATGGGCTGTGCTTAGCAAAACCCTTTAACATAACACCATATCAGTTCCACAAACTCTTAATTTTCCATGTAATGAGAGCAGGCAAGGACAAAATGTAGTTACTTGCAAATTAAATTCAAGCAAAATATTTAGGCCCCGGACCCCAACAAAGTTGGGAGTATTTTGGGTTTGGTGTTATAATAAACTTTTAGGTTCTCGTAAACATAGTTGAATCAGTTCTCAGATTGAAAGATTTGTAAAAGCTTGTGCCTCAAAGCAACATCACAGGACCATTACGAAAATGAATGACCAACTTACTGTTGTTTGACCCAATCCTATAGGATTTGTTGTGTTTTGCACTGACGAAGTGCTAGTAAATAAGTTCCCACCCAAACTAGTAGATGGGGTGCTAAATATATTTGATTGACCAAAAGGTGTACTCTGCCCAATGGATGAGGAAGTCTGTCCAAATATCCCTGTCTGCCCATGTGAAGGTGTGGTTGACGGAAATAATGGTGTTGACTGAGTGTTGAAAGCTAAGCTAGAAACAAGTGTTGGTGTTGTTGCTTGAGCTGATGTTGATTGTCCAAAAGGAGATGTTCCAAAGATGGGAGGGGTATTCGATACAAGTGATGGACTCGAACCAAATGGAGTTGTCACTGATGTTGACCCAAATGGATTCGGTGTAGCCGTCGTTCCAAATGGTGAACTAGCTGCTGTAGTTGTTGAGACTCCAAATGGAGGTTTTGGGGCAAATGGATTAGGTGAAGTGGATGAAAATGGATTGGAAGATGTCTGACCAAGGCTGTTTGCGCCAATAGACTGTGGAGCTCGAGCAGGCCCTCCTGAAATTATTTAGTTGAAAAAAAAAAATCAACAAAAAACATTAGTAGCAGTTCAAGCAATTTCACCTTTATCAGGCATTCAGGCAGATAGTACCTTTATCTCCCGACTGGTAGTCCTCAAATCTAAGTTCCTCATGGCTTTTCTCTTTATACACTGGCATTGCAGAAATGGACTCCATCTTTCCAGTAGTTGTTGAGCCGCTATCTGTCTCAGGCGTAGGTTGGTAAGGAGCCACTCTAGTTCCCCGGGGTTGTCCTGCAAAACCAGGAGCCCCGAAAGGTGGAGTTGAAGATGAAACACCTGCATGTTTTTATTATATGGGGACAACAATTCAGAGAGCATCAGCATTGATGTACAAAAAATTAATCTACACTTGTCATGCGCATAATTTTAAAGAAACCACGCACCAAATGCAGAACTTTGAGTGGCAAAGGATGTTGGTGCTGTATTGAAAGGACTGCTACTAAAAGCAGATAATGATTGGCCAAAGGCTGGTGTAGATCCAATATTGAAAGGAGTACTCGTATTACCAAAGGGCGGGGTTGTTGTAGAGCCAAAGGGAGAAGTGGTTGTAGTGCCAAAGGCAGGAGTGGGGGTAGTGCCAAAGGTAGGAGTGGTTCCAAACACAGGTGCACTGGAAGTAAATGCAGGTGTGGTTGAACCAAAAATAGGGGCAGTTGAAATGCCAAATGGACTACCAGTGCTACCAAAATTCGTGCTTGCTGTTGTGCCAAAGGATGGAGTACTTGAACCTCCAAATGATGGTGTGGTTGGGGCACCAAATGCAGGGGTGCTGGACGGGCCAAATGCTGAGGTGCTAGGAGCACCAAATGCGGGTTGACTTTGTGCTCCAAATGGAGGGGACGAACCAAATAAGTTGCTCCCAAATGCTGGTTGGGATTGCTGAAAGGAGCTTCCAAAAGAACTTGGTTGAGGAGTGCTCGATCCGAAGCCACCAAAAGCAGGCTTTTGCCCAAACAGTGGAGAACCTTCACCATCATATTCAAAATAAAAGAAATGTATTGATACATACTTTAAACATTTAAGAAAAGATAAAAGTGATTTACACTTTAAGTATGGAGCATTATAACTGTGAAATTTAACAATCCTATTTCACAAAAAAGGACCGTTAAGTCTTTAACCCAGATAGATCAAAGATTAGAACTGGACAACCTCAAGCTCAGAAAAATGCCAGATTCAAAGATAACCTGAAAGAAATGAGAAATCTACCTTTTTCTAAACCTCGATTAGTACTTCAGAGAATACCATTGTAATGCTTGCAGCATGTTTGATTGGCATGAGGAAAATAACCCAGGAAATGTTATCCCAGCATATTAGCATAAGTCATGAAGTTGAAAATTATAAGGTTGGTTCATAGTTCATACAATCTTTTTAACAACAACAACAACATTACCCCAGTGCCAGCCCAAAAAATTCTAATTCTTATGGGCAAGGAGCAAAAAAGACTAATATAACCTTTCTACCCCCATAAAACCCAAGTTAGGTGTGCAAGGATCCCAATGTATAGTTTCATTATTAGGGGCATTTTAGCCTTTAAATCAATAACTCCCAGACTTTACCAAAGTAAATGAAACAGATGGAAATATAGAATTAGTAATCCTAATGTTCTGATTCCCACCCACGTGACAAAACTACAGAATTTAAAATCTTTCATTATTCACAACGTATTTTTCTCCCACTAAACTTGAATTTCATACCCACCACATTATTGTTTGCAATTTCAAGGATTTCAAGCTAAAGTCTATATTATTCTACTGATTTTTTTTGCATATACATTAACAAAGTTACACTCCTAATGCTCTACTTTACACGAAAATTTAACTACCAAACAGAGCTTGTCCGAAAATTGCTATTTGTGGAAAGAACCTTTAAAATGAATTTAATAAATCTAAATAAATTTTCTGAAAGGAAAAATGGTCGGTTATTTGTAGTTTATGATTAGCTAAGAAGCTAAGAAAATGAAAAATAACCTATAATGATATGAATATATTAGTGTATACATTCAACTATTTTTCAATGACTTATTGGTATAGATATAATTTTAAAATAATTTTTACAACATTTATAGTATTCCTTAGTACTACTCTAAATATTCTAAGAAATTATAATTGCTTAAATATGATACAAAAATTTTGGCTTATTTAATACTACGGAGTATTTTGTTGAGTACAAAAAAGAGAGTTTTCTGTTACAAACATATTATTATTCGTTAGCAATTTAAGAATTAGTTTCCTATTATATTTAGTATTTTGTCCTTTCTTGGATTAGTACTATTGGTATTGGTAGTTACAGTTTCCTATTAGTATTAATACTGTAATTTAGTTAATACTCTTGGAAACAGACTCTCTACTCTAGAGTAGGGGTAAGGTCTACGTACACACCCTACCAACATATACACACCCTAGCCAGACCTTACTTTTGGCGCACTCTAATGGGTTGTTGTTGTACTCTAATTTAGTTAGTATTCCTAATAGCAATATTGTACTCTGTCTTAGATTAGGACTCTATTATCTTTCTCTCTTGGGAGTAGTATAAATAAAATAGATGTGTTATGTTCATTTATAAGATCATCAATGGTTGAAGACAAAAATTCTAATTAGTAATTATGAGAAGCTAGCCAAGGACTGCTCTGCCCTCCTTCCAACCACAGGCAGGGAAGGATCAATGTACTCTTCTTTTATGTTCACTCCTACTTTCGTAACATTTCCATAGCTTCAAAATTCATCTTTTAGTTTAGGAAACGAAGAGCAGAAGATGCAATTCGGCACTTTGATGAAGGAGAAAAAGATGTCTGAAGGCATGTGTTAAAATGGAACGGTGGCCGGAAACATGGAAAGACTGTAGAGACTATGTGCAGCATTGTGGAAGTGATCAGAGGAATGCCATACTGGGGGCCACAAGTGGAATCCCATGTTTTCAGAATTGACTCACGATTTGATCGATATATGCATTTCGCACAATATGGCATGCAATTTCATAGATTAAAATGATTCATCAAGGTACATATAGTATTACTTCAACAGATTTCATATGAAATGAAGATATGAATCGTGTGAGTCATTAGCACCAAAAAAACTCACAGTGCATGAACACTTTATGAAACCTAACAAAAAATACTAAAGATTCCAACAAAAAGCTAGAAGCTTTTTTTTGTAATTTATTGAACTGCTATTGATCACAGTCGACAGCTCATACTATGAGCTTGGAGGACCTACTGACCTATAACTTTATGCATTCCATCAAGAAGATTTGTTCTAAAGTTAATCCAGATATTAATCAGAGCTAAGTGACTACCTAAAACTTACAAAGAGTACTTTTGAAGAAGTGCATATTTGCATAAAGCCAAGGCAACAAAACTTATCATATGTGAAGAAAAAAGATGCCTTGAGAAAGATCTGACCATGTTGACTCATTGACATGGATTCTACTCATCAATTATGAAGCCAAGCAGCATACTAATGTAAAAGGTAAAGATATATGCACAATAATACACACATATCCAACAACTTACTCCCAAATGCTGATGATGAATTACCAAATGTAGGAGTTGATGAAGTTCCAAGTGCAGGTGTCGTGCTTCCAAAGGCAGGAGAAGATGCGCCAAAAGTTTGGGTGGAACCTAAAGGTGAAGAGGATTGTGTTGCTCCAAAAACACCAGTAGAATTGCCAGCAAAAAGAGAGCTCCCAGTATTAGAGCCAAAAGGAGTTGTGCCTCCAAAAGGTTTGGGTGCAAATGGATTGTTGCCTGTCTGCCCAAAAGCCGATTGTGAACCAAACGGGCTGGTGGGCAACTGCCCAAAAGCTGTAGCATTGACCAAAAGTCTATCAGTAAATCAAGATAATACATTTTTACCTTTAGGCCCTGTTTGTTTGAAGGGGAAATGGAAGAAAAGAAAGGAGAGGGAAGGAAATTGGGAGGAAAATTTAAATTTTCCCTAGTATGGAAGAGTGGAAAACTGTGCTGGACAAAAGGGATAATATTTTGGGCCCAGTGTGTTTTCTTCTCACCTTCGGATGGAAAGTGAGGCAAAGGTGGGAGCTTTAAATTTACTCAAATGCCCTCATAAATTATCTCCCTAGTTTAGACTTTAGATAGCCACATCTTATCCGACTCCTACACATATGCAGATATGCTTCTTTTTCTTCACTGATGTCTTTTATGTGAAATAGTACAAAATCTTGAATTCATATTGGTTTTATTTTTCTAGTGTACATAGTTTATAATTTAAATTGATATATAATAAGTTCTAAATAGAAAAATATTAATGTTGCAAAATTGTATGTATTTTAAATTGACTCATTAATTTCTTAATGAATATATTTTAGTAATTATAAAATGATTTCTTTTTTTAAGAATAGAACATAGTGGTTACTAATAAAGGACAAAAATGTCATTTCCTTCTAATCTGTTGTCCATTCTATTCAATTTTCCATTCATACACAAAAAAATGATGTTTTCCTCTCTCCCCTTTATTTTTCTCTTATCCAAACCTAACTATGGAAATTCAAAATTCATCTAATTTCAATTCTTTCACTTCTTTCCATATTTCTTTCCTCTCTACCAAACATAACCTTAGGGTGAGGGTGGGGAGAGGGGCAAATGTGAATTAGTAAAATCAACCCAACATGCCTAGTCTAATTTAGATATTCAGAATGCATTGAAAGCAAGTTATTTCTTGATAATAGAATTGTGTAGAAGACAAGAAAACCTTTAAGAATTAAAAAAACATTTCATTTATAGCGATTAAAAATAACAATAACATAACAAAAAATGATAGACCACACAGTGCAATCATAGATTCCATTTTTAGATGTATTCTAACAAAACAACATTTAAAAAAAACACTAATAATCTATTTTAAAAACTATGAATGAGGTTCCTCAAAAAAACTATGATTGAGGAGGCACTTACGGTTAGTTGATCCAAACATCGTTCCGCTTGAATCCAATCCAACAGTTATTGGCTCCAATGCTAAAATACACTGACCAAATGCAGAATATATGAGATTGATGAGTCTAGAAAACAGAATGATATAATTCAATATATGTGATGCAATGTCATTGCATTAAATATTCATGTAATATAATTAAAGCCAGCAGCCAAAAACAAGCTCATTTGGCCAAATATCACTGGAGAAAAAGGTGTATAATATCCACCAACTTCTCTTTAAAGGATATGAATTACAACAGAAAAAAGTAACTTATTTTGGAGCTTGAAAATCAAATACAGGAATTAAATTACATCAAAGTAAATCAAATTCAAATTACCAAAAACTGAATTAAAATCAAACACATGTCTCAAAAAACAACTCCCAAATTTTGAACCCTACTCAATTTTTTTAAAAAAAAAACTACATAGAAAACCAAATTTTCCAATGAGAAAAGTCTAAACTCATAATTAAAATTAAATGCATGAATTAAAAAGACAAATCTAGAGCTGTAAAAAATGGAACAAACTGTAGAGAAGGGGTCTCTTGCTCCGCGTCAAGCCTAATGAAAGGGGCACTAAGGTAACAAATTACTCCGTATTTCTTAGTCTCAAAAGCAATAATTCAACGAAGACAGGAGGAGGAGGATCAGGGGAAAAAATTATACCTCGTGAAAAGAAAAAAATTGTAGAGACAAGCAGCAAAAAAATGCAAAATTTAGGCATCAAAATTTGGAAATTAAGGAAGATGATAATTGATGGTGCCATGGAGGCTAGAGCTACACAAATCTCCCACCGTTCATCCAGATGCTAGTGGTAAGAACAGTACCTGAGGAAGATGATGAACAATCGATGATGAAATTCAGAGGTTGACGACGGTTTCGCGATGAAATTGTGCGATGGTGAGAGATCGCTCTTCCGAAGCGTGCCTCAAAGGCTCGAAGTATTTAAGACGGAATACTCCGTAAAACCAACGCTAAAAAAAATTGGGCGTACTCTCCTGGAGTGGCTGAAACTAGGGGTGAGGGTATTTAGCCCGTACTAATATCGTACTAAATATTTCGGTTCGGTATGGGATTTTACACCGTACCGATCCCGATCCCGACATATTGGTTCGGTATGGTTCGGGATGGTTCGGTATCGGTTTCGGTACAAATCGGGATGAATATACATACCTACTTTACACCTTAAAGTTTAACAATGTCCCTTTATTTTTGAAAATTAAAAGTGAATTTAAATTTAAAAAAACGTGAAAAATTAAAAAAATGAATATTTAAATGCAAGGGATGCATATCAAAACATAGTTTATATTTCACAAACTAAAAAAATGAACAACAACAAAGAGTTTTTCGAATCTTTGTGAATACTTTTATGTTTATACACAAAAACTAAAACTCAAATAAAAGTATAACTTACACATGATAAAACTTCAACCAATTTTTTTTTAAAAAATTACTCCGTATTATTTAGTGAAGGAATATGAAAAATATTACTCCGGGTTATTATTTTTTATAATATTTTAGTATATATGTTCGGTTCGGGATTTTCGGTATGGTACGTCACCTCGTACCGTTCCCAAATACCGTACCGACCATTCGGTTTGGTACGGTTCGGTTTCTTCTCGGTACTTTTTTGGTTCGGTATTTTTCGGTTCGGTATTCTCGGTTTTTTCGGGAAATTTCGGTATCGGTTCGGTACTTGCTCACCCCTAGCTGAAACGCTCGAATTATTGCCGAGTGCTCCGTGAAACCAAAGCTAAGAAAAAAATAAGACTTCGATTTTTTGAAAAAATAATGTATTTTATTTTATTATATACTTAAATCAAATTATCTAAGATTGTAATAGTGAAATGTAACTTTATTTTTAGGATTAAGGAAGTAATGATTTTAACAATAATAATATGCTCTTTGTCCAATAAAAAATGGTCAATTTGTCTTCAGGAGATTAAAAAGTGTAAAAAAAAATATCAATATTAAAAAGTAAGTGATTAAACTTTTTAGTGCCGAGCAAAGACTATATTTAATTTTATAAATAAAATAGAAATATAAAGAGTGAATCTCTTGGACATTTTCAAATTAAATATTATGTTAGTATGACTTTTAACGAAATATACAAAAACTATGGTTATGTAGCAATATATATTGATATTTGTACCGTTCTTCCACTACTCACTCTGAATCAACACTCATTCAGTTCAACATCACAATTGAATGCACTTATCATCTTACTCACTTCTTCACACTCGTAGTGTCTTACTTCAACAATATGAGTCAATGAATACATAGTTTCTAATATTATTTAATATTTACCTATTCCTCATTAAAATAAATTAAATAATATTTTTAATTAAATTAAATAATTTGATTTATGTGTTTTTTTACAGAATTTGTTGCTTTATTATTTTTTCATCCAAACCTTTTTTTAGTTTGTTGGTTTTAATTCTTTTATTTTTTGTTCAATCCATTTATTGTTTTTCTTTTGCTTTTTTATATTACGTATAATATTGTTTCATTTGAACAAGAAAAAGAAAACTTTTTTGTAAAAAATTTTTCTTACATTTTTATACTACCTCCGTCCCTGAGTACTTATCCAATTTAGACTTGTTTTGGTAATTAAATAAAACATATATTGTATATTAATTAGATAAAATAATATTTTGAAAATATTTGATATAATAAATCTAATAAAAATATTTTTGAATCAATATCTAATATCATATTTATTTACTTTGAGGTCAAAGCTTACCAATTTTGACTGAAAAAAGTCAAAAGTGGACAAATACTCATGGGCAGAGGGAGTAGCAAAAAAAAACATAAACTAGTTTAATAGGAAAAATTATAAATAGGACATAATTTATAATTAAACATGTTTCACTCCAAGTAATAATAATAAAATATTTAATTCATAAGTGTTTGAGTGAATATATAAGCGCAACATAACATTAAAATTAAATATGCTACATTAGTCCTATATTATATTGGGTGTTATAAATTGATGAATTGATAAATTAATTAAAAGTTGTATATATGGTCCTTATAATGATAAAACTTTAAAAGTATTATGATAATTTTAACTTTAATTCAAATTAGGTTAGATCTCATCGGGTGAAACCAAATCTCATCTGATCAGATAGGAAATCAGATTAGATCAAATCAGATCTTATCAGATTACATGTCATTAGATCCAATAAGATCCCATCACATCAAACTAAATCTTAAAAAATCATATTAGAAAAAATAAGATTACGTGAACAGAATGCAGCCTTAGTTTCAAGTAACAAGTGCAACTAATAAGTACATAATTGTAACTTTTATCGTGCTTGTCAACATTAATAGAGCATGCTTTATTGATATTAGTGAAATCAAAACACATTGATGGATACCCTAGACTTGGGGTACCCAGTCCAACAAAAAATATAACAGTCCAACACAAGATCCATCCAATTGCAAGAATCGTATGCGCTCGGCCAAAAACGCCTTACTCGGTTGAGCGGGGCTTAAAGGAAACTAAACCCTTAAGACAAAGACCGCACTCAGACATGCGACGCGTCTATACTCAGCTCGGCTGCTTGCACTCGGACCCAGGGGCAAACCTGGACAAATATTTACTCAGATGTCATCCAGTGACACAATCGTGTACTCGAACCCTGCTGCCAGAGAAGCAAGATGTATCATGGGCATGGGATACTGTACGTCCTATCTATTCTATGGGCTCACACAAGAGCATCTTCGATACTATATGTTTGTAAATCATCTGTAGTTATTCTATTTATAATTACACCACTTGTATTATTAGTCTAAAATCCGATTCCAATGGGTCTCGGTCCACTAGGTCTTGCCCTAAACAAACGCTAGAAACATGCATATAGGAAAAATGTATTTTATAAATACCTCTCCCTCTTGGGGAGAAGGGATCACGTTCACAACTAAACTAATATAGTCATTCTACACTCTTGTGCCTAAAAAGCACTCAGCCCTTATTCGATACTCTCCTACCTAGTCTTTTAGGCCTTTGGTTCCAAAACTCATCATCGGTGCTTTCATTGAGAGCTTTGGACACATCAAGCGTGCTCTTTCGAAAATGGTTGCTTCAAGAAAAGTTACAACATCGTCCACTGCCGCCAACGGTGGTGGCATCAAAATGACTCTAACGGCACCTACTAACACGTGCCAGGATGAACTATGGACATCAGCTTGAACGATGTCACTATCCAACACACCATTGACCTCCGTCAACGCATTCCGCGGGGGAGAACGATGGACGAAGAAGGCCTTTGACATCCCATCCAGCAAATACCAGCCATGGGGACTGGTATGGTGACCAAGTGGCCTGGAGGAATGATCCGCGGCACGGGGATGATGCTTTTAGGTGACATCAACTTACCGCTTTTCCAGTTCGGCGAGACGTACGATGTCAGAACCCCCTCCATGGATCCCAACAGTTTCTGGACCATGATGATGAAGCAGTCCATGATGGGTTTCGAGGCACAGATTTCCATGCATCAGCCAATGACATTGTCTGGCTTGGTGTCAGGTGATATATACGCGTAAAAATGTTGGAAAGGTTTATGTCTAGTTCATGCTCAACGGTTTAATAATATGTTGGTGGATGTCCTCGTCTAACCCAACACCTACGTATGTTTACCACCTTGTTTGCATTTCCTTCCAAGAAGAGGGGCATCTCCTTTTGTTTCTTTTGTGGGTGTCGGACTTTCCCTCTAAGGTTCTTCTAAGCCCTCGTGTGATAGCCTAGACCTTCAAGCCAATATTCTTTCATGCCTTCAAGTAAGTATATTTAGCCACAAGTACATCTCACAAGGTACGACAAACACCTTCTATGGTTCTAAAATTGAGGTTGAGCTGTTACATGGGCAAGGACCCACCTAAATCCCCAACACAAAGTCCATCTTCACCCTATGAACTATGGCATTTTGGCCTAATACCACGTCCATCATAACACACTCGTCACACTCAATAATATCTCATGTGACACCAGACAGTGGTGTGTTGAGCCTCTTCAAGTCTTCCTTCTTGAGACCTAACTTTTGTGCTATGTATCGGCAAAGAATATTGACACTAATCTATGTATCTTCTTGAGTGATTTCTTGACTCATTCTAAAAATAACAGAAATTCCTTTATTAGGATTCTTTATTTGAGTAGTTGAGTTCATGACAAAAGTCATAAGGGAATACAACAATTGATACAATAAATGGATTTGGAAAGAAACAACATGATGAATTCTAAACATTTGTGTGTGGTTGGATCGTGTCAAGTCCACAGAGGGGTCTTCCACACCAGATCTGCAGATACTGTTTGCGAAAACTACACTAAACGTCTCTTCAGGATATTCTCGTTCCCACACAGCTTCGTGGTGCAGATATATTTCTCATTTCATTATTCTCGTGATGCGATGCGCACTTTGATAAGGTATCGGAGAGTCATACACTTTTTGTTTATTCATCCTTCTCTTGCCAAGTACGAAAGTTCAACTTGAGTCGATGCTCGATATCATTTCAGAGTTAATAGTCGTCATCGATGAAAATTTAATATGGCCATACTCAATACTTAATTTTTCATTACCTTCTTGGAGCACAGGGATGCGAGAGTTGTGGATGTGATTTACATTTTTTATAACCAATATATATATATATAATATATTTTTGATCAAATTTTGATCCGAAGATCAGGTTTAAAACCATTTGCTCCGATACCAAATTGTACGGAGTAACACTTTAATCCACCTTGGTCTATAGTCCCTTTTGGACTAAAGTATAAACTTGGTAATCGTAAAATTTAAAACATTTCAAATATTTTATTTATCATAAATAATAATCATAACATAAACAGTAAAAAGACAGAGTGTTTAATAATGCGGAAGCAAATTAAAACATGTCACATGACCGTCACATTTAATTATTTTATGTATTTTGAAATCATAATCCAAATCATCACATCCATCCCGACAATCTTGCCCCATCTGCTACCGGGAACATGTCACATTATTCTTTCTGTTTTTCCTGCGTGTAGCAAATAAAACATACAACACGCTCAGCGGTGAAGCTAAGTAAGGATATTTAATGCATCGAATATCCATATAAATTAAATCTTAATTCATAATCAAATCATTTGATATCATGCACATAATATTTTTTTTAATCATACACATAATATTCAATTCAAATATCCATGATATTCACAATATTCAATTCAGATAATTTCATGACATGTTCAATATTCAGTATTCATACAGTCAATAGCATCCTTTTCATAACAAAGATCTTATACTATTCTGAGTCTAAGGCAATATTTCTAACTAGGCTCTTAAACTGTAATTATTTTATGGTAGAACACAAGAATCGATGATCCATCCTACGAGTCTTATGGATCATGTTCCAACCAAACAGTGGACTTACTTCTTGTTAGGGGGGGGGGGGGTGGTATCCCCAAACGAGTAATTACTCAAGTTTAGTTTGTGGATCCCATATGTACGTTTTAACCCCTGATTGCTGAATTGGTCACATATGTATATCTTAGATTTCTTCTAGATATCCTTAATAATCAACATCAATTAACTATATTGGTTATGTGGGTATTTTTTAAAGTTCTTCTAAATATCCTTAATAAAACATATCATCTTCATAATCATCAATACATTCATTTGCTAATATAGTTCAATCATTCGTAATCATTATTTTAATCAAAATATTTATTAAGGCTTGATCAAATCAATATTCAATCACAATCATTGTAATATCCAATAACAAGTAACGGCCTAACATCGAGTGTTAACACCCAAGCTTACCGTCATGCATCAAACAAGGTACTTGGATTGTGAAAACATCATATTTATCTTCAAAAATCATTTTTCATATTGATCATAATTGAATGGTGTCAAAAATAGGATTTAATATTTCCAAAATTGGGTTTCTAAAAAATTTATGGGTCGGATGGTACCCCTCAAGGTACCTCGGTATCGGCTCACGGTACCTTAGTACCGTTTAGATGGTACGGGGTATTGCCATACTTCAAGTACCGCCAGAGGAGGACATTTTTCTTGGAAGAGAAGGTAGCTAGCCTACCGTCCCGGCGATACCAAGGTACCGTCTGGACGGTAGCTCTCGCTACTGCTCTGCGCGTAGTTTTGAATAGTGTCATCTTCAACCTCGGACCAATTTTAGAAAACTTCATTTTTCATCACCAAACTTTAATTAAACTATATATAAACGTTTTCCAAATTCATAGATCATTTTGGTATCATTAGTTCGTAGTGTGAACACCAATTTCAAGGTTTATGATTCTTGGTTCTTTAAGCATGTCAAACACAAAATTCAACCAAACGATGGTTTATGAACATAGAAACAATCTATGTGAACATTCTAATCATAAGATATTTCTTAGGGCTTACCTCGGGCTAAAGTGAAGGTTTTGGAAATTTTCCGGCAAAACTTCCAGTGATGATTACTCTTAATCTTGGTGACCTCTCACCAAATTGACAGCACCACGCACTGTGTTCTCCTCGCTTAGAGCAACATAATAGAAGGAAGAATGAGATATTTGGGTGAAGAGATGAGGGGCTTGGGTACTCCTTATATAGGAGAGTTGGAGGACGAAGATGACAACTGTTGTGTCACCTTCCCTGTTCGAGCAACTAGTGGAGTGAACGGCGATTCTCCGATATTATACGCCTCTCCCTTATTGGGACTTCTTTGGTCCCAGTCAAGGTACACTTTTTGGTCCAACTTTCTCCGAATTAAAATTTGATTGTTCCGTTGGGACAAGTCAATCAAACTCTACACAACGATATGATTTTCATTATTTATTGACAAACTTTATAAATAATTTATTTTTGGGTCCTTCTCAGTAATTAATTAAATATTAATTAATTAATTCTAATAGTCCTATTTTTGAGGCGTTACATGGGGTGTTCCTTCATGCTAACACAAAGGGCCTAATAAACATCTCAAAACTTCTTTGACTTTTTTCTCATGCTTTGAATTTGGAAAATGAACTTGTCTTTTTAGTAAAGCATATACCTCGGGTGGGGTGGACTTAGTCGTCTGAGGTATATATCGCGTGCAAGCAAGTGGATCGGGGCATACATCTAGCACACTATAAAGAGTTGCCCAAGGTATATACCTCACGTATATTAGAAGGGATTGCGTGAGGTGTATGCCTCGTGTATACTAAAAGGAGCTGCCCGCGGTGCATACCTTACGTAAGGAGAGTTCCAAGGTGTATAGTGTATCTCGCGTGGAAAAGGAAGGATGCTCCATGGTGTATACCTCACATATACTAGAAAGAGCTTATGAGAAGCGTTTACCTTGCGCTTAGTAAATGGGATAGGCGAGGTGTATACCTCGAGCACTTACAAATACCCCGAGGTAAGCCTCGCATAGGGAGCCAAGGTGTATTCCTCGGGAGATGTACCTCAGATTCACCCAAATCAGGGGTCATAGTCAAGACTAGAAAGAGTAAAAAAATATAAAAAGGCATGTGTAAGAAAGGCACATTGAAATAAATAATTTTCCTCAAACAAAACACCTTCCTCGTCAATCATCTCTGCTCTCAAAGAAGATCAACTCAGAAGGATAAACTATTGAAATATTCTTTAATTTTTAACTATTATTATGATTATGTAAATGTTGTTTCTCACTCTATTACAAGATGTCATCTCTCAGACACAATTCTTCTCTTTTATAGGACATACCCTCCATAACCATCATATATCACTAGTGAGTGGAAGGGCATATCAATAAAGATTTCGAGGATCTTTCTATCAACTCCGAGCCTTCCATTCACACTTCTGTATATTCCTTCTCACTTTTTTTCTAAGAATATTTGTCAATAATATTCTTAATGAAGACAGTTAATACTCTTGAGCGTATGTTTGGTACTCAAAATGAAAGTATCATTTAATGGAAATAAGCTCATATAGGTGTTTTCATTTTAGTGCAAAATACATGTGTAAATATAAAGTTAATATATGTATTGGTGCATTTTTAAAAAGATGAGCCTCATCCTCGAAGACTCCCTCATACGTGAACGGATAATCAGTGAGAGGAGGTAAAATAGATTTTAATTACAGATTAGTCGTAGAGAGTGAAGCCTATACTTGATACTTGCAGAGGCTGCGTGCTTACTATAGTTTCCTCCCTACACAGTTGTCAAGAATTGAACTCGAATTTATCTCTTTGGTACTTTCTGTGTTTGCCAATTGCACAACGCACTTGCAGAGGCCTTATGTTTATAGTTTCATACTACATCTGTCCCTGAGTATTTGTCTAATTTTGACTTTTTTCAATCAATTGTTTTCAACCTTTGACCTATAATTAAATAAAATATACATTACATATTAATTAGATAAAATTTTGAAAATATTTGATATAATAAATCCAATAAAACTATTTTTGTATCAATATCTAATATCATTTTTATTTAATTTAAGGTCAAGGTTAAGGGTGTAAACGGATAATATCCGTTTCAGATGTACTATAACCGTATCCGAATCCGACTAGCAAGACCGTTATCCGAATCCGCATCCGTATCCGACGGATGTCTACAATTCTAAATCCGAATCCGAAACCGGCGGATACGGATGCGGATTCGGATATATCCGTATCCGATGAAGCATCCGACTAATAAAAAAATCCGAGTCCGAATCCGTATAATTGAGAGTTTGTACCTAAAATCAAAAAAGAGAGTAGATGATGATGCTAAGGATTGAGGTGCTGAAATGGTCGCTGCGACGCTGCCGCTGGTTGCCGGGTTCGAAGAATAGCTGAGGAAGACGCCGCTACGTCAGTTCGTCACTTGGTCGCTGCCTCGCTGGATGGAGTGGATGCCTGGTTCCGGAAAAAAAAAGTATTAGGTATGTATTTAGGTTTTGGGCCATTTAGGGCTTAGTGGGCTGGGTAGAAATTAGAAAACTAGGACTAGGAGTATACATAAACATATTAATTAGTCTAAACTACGGATAATTTTTTTTAACTACGGATAATTTTTTATTACCTATATTCGGTATAACGGATCGGATAATCGGATATGCGGATATATAAACGGATGTATACACGGATCGGATTTTAAACGGATCGGATTTGTAATTACCAAATCCGCATCCGTTTATCAATCGGATGTGCTTAATCGGATACGGATAATATCCGTTTAAAGCGAATGCAGATTTTTTCCATTTAAACGAATACGGATGCGGACGGTAATCGGATTTTGGGTTATCCATTTACACCCCTAGTCAAGGTTTCCCAATTCTGACTAAAAAGGCAAAAGTGGATAAATATTCAGGGACGAAGAGAGTATATGGTACATGGTGGTTAATTGCCCCATTTTCACCTGCTATCATACTTAACTTTGTGGGAATGATGAGATCATGAATTCATGATTGCCTTATGTTTCTCCCAATGTTTAAAAACACTACGTACGTAGTAGTTGCTGATTCCACCTTGGTCATTTGGAGCAATTTATACACCTATACACAGACAAAAAAAGAATTATGCATGTACCTGCAATAAAAATCTAGATGTACACCAAAGTTTATTGATTCTTGACACGCCGAACAAAGGTGCATCATCTTTGTAGACCAATGATATTTTACACAAAAAATTGCTGCTAGGTACCTCCAATTTTGTGATAAGAACTCGTAGGTCCCGTTATTTTTCAAAACATACTCCGGGGTACCTTAAAATATCCAAAAAGTCACTCCCGGGTGACATTCCGTCTATGTGTCCGTCAAATTTGCTTCTCCGTTATCTTGTTCTCCTTCTTCATCCTCTTTAGATCTCCTCCTTTCTTCTTTCTTCTTTCTTCTTCTTTTTTCTTCTTTCTTCTTCTTTTTTCTTCTTTCTTCTTTTTTCTTCTTTCTTCTTCTTTTTTTTCTTCTTTCTTCTTCTTTTTTTCTTCTTTCTTCTTCTTCTTCTTCTTCTTCATCTTCTTCTACTTCCACGCCATCCCATCCAATTTAGTCTCCCATCCCTCCCCTTTTTTTCTTCTTCGTTTTCTTCTATTATTATTACTATATTATTACTATTAATTATTATTATTAGTTATTATTATTTTATTATTTGTTATTATTATAATCATTATTTATTATTACTATTTTATTTAATTAGTAGTTTGACTAATCTAACTTTTTTAGTAGTTTTACTACTCTAAAGCTTTAATTGAAAATTACTTTTAGTAAATATATTATGTATAGTTTATGAAATTAAAATTATTTATTCACTTGGTTATAAATTATACGTCGTAATTAATAATAATATAAAATTTAGAACTGTTTTTTATTGTTTCATACTCCATCCGTCCCAATGAATTTGTCTAATTTTACTCTTTTGAGTCAAACTAGACAAATCGTGAGCTTGAATTAAATAAAAATCGTAATGTATTTTAACATAAAAATGACTTTATTGGATTTATCGTATTGAGAACTTTCAAAATTGTATTTCATTATGCTAATATGCAATATAAATTGAAAGTAATTGGAGTTCAAAGTTTGTTCAGTTTGACTCGAAAAAGTCAAACTGGATAAATACACTAGGACGGGGTAGTATTATCTTTAAAAAAATCCATAGGCGGAACTTACTCATCTTATTCTTTTCTAAAGTACTCATCTTATTCTTTTCTGAACTTACTCATCTTATAAATACTAGTGTATTTATCCAGTTTGACTTTTTCGAGTCAAACTGAACAAACTTTGAACTTCAATTACTTTCAATTTATATTGCATATTAGCATAATGAAATACAATTTTGAAAGTTCTCAATACGATAAATCTAATAAAGTCATTTTTATGTTAAAATACATTACGATTTTTATTTAATTCAAGCTCACAATTTGTCTAGTTTGACTCAAAAAAGTAAAATTAGACAAATTCATTGGGACGGAGGGAGTATGAAACAATAAAAAACAGTTATAAATTTTATATTATTATTAATTACGACGTATAATTTATAACCAAGTGAATAAATAATTTTAATTTCATAAACTATACATAATATATTTACTAAAAGTAATTTTCAATTAAAGCTTTAGAGTAGTAAAACTATTAAAAAAGTTAGATTAGTCAAACTACTAATTAAATAAAATAGTAATAATAAATAATGATTATAATAATAACAAATAATAAAATAATAATAACTAATAATAATAATTAATAGTAATAATATAATAATAATAGAAGAAAACGAAGAAGAAAAAAAGGGGAGGGATGGGAGACTAAATTGGATGGGATGGCGTGGAAGTAGAAGAAGATGAAGAAGAAGAAGAAGAAAGAAGAAAAAAAGAAGAAGAAAGAAGAAAAAAAAAAAGAAGAAGAAAGAAGAGAGGAGCCGAGGAGGAGATCTAAAGAGGATGAAGAAGGAGAACAAGATAACGGAGAGGGAAATTTGACGGACACATGGATGGAATGTCACCCGGGAGCGACTTCTTGGATATTTTAAGGTACTCCGGAGTATATTTTGAAAAATAATGGGACCTGCGAATTTTTATTACAAAATTAGGGGTACCTAGCAGCAATTTTTTGATATTTTACATGTGATAAACATTTCCTCAATCCTTAAATTAAATTGAAATTTTGAATTCACAAAAGTAAATAAATGTGTTAAAAAGTAAAAGGCGTTTGATGAAAAGTAAAAAAAATTACACATTATTATTTTCTAAAAGAAATTGAAAATAAGTAAAGTTTAAGATATCAAAAATTCAAAAAGAAGCGTTAAGTTAATTGGGAGAGGGAAGGAGTATATATAAATCGGTACCCGGGCAACATGAGCATGATACAACTTTCCGCCCAAAACTAGACCATAACCGCCCATACACTTGGCTCATACAGAGTATATTTCTAGGTCTAAGAACTAAAACAGATTGCTTCCATTGTCACTGGACAACGGTGTCACTCGTGGCATTGGCTTCTTGGGGCACCTCCGATGCCCCCATTCAAAAAATTTATGGTTCAAGTCAGGACAGGGTAGGGGTTTAACAAGAGATCACCGAGTAAAAATCATCAATTTTACAAACAAAGCACTAGAGCACCCAATGGCAGTGTAGCCCAGTGACAGCAGAACTCTGTTAAATAAAAGCACTTTTGGAAAATAAAAGACAAAACAAAGCATTCGTATATTTTAAATTTATGGTTTTCAAGGCATTAGTATATCTTATCTCAAAAATTGCAAACACTAGAAGAGAAAAAAAACATAGATTGCGCTTAAGACAAGAAAAAGGGGAAGAAGAAAAAGATAAGCCCTAACAGTTATAAACCATTCTGCACAAAGCTTAAACCCATTATGTAGGAATCATCAAAATAAAATAAAGGTAAAAACCAACCGACCCTAGATTCTAAACCATGCCAAGGGTAGGGTGCATCACTCTTATCTCAAGCTCTGCCTCGTCTTGATCATTCGCTTCAGTGATGTTAGCCAAAAGTTACACTCGTCCCAATCACTGGTAGTGAGTTGTACCTATTCCGATATAAATTGAAAATAGAATGGTTAAATCAGTTTCAAACCGGACCGACCAACTGTAAGGAAGGGCGAGTTGCATGAAGGGCACCTGGATCTTAAGGGCAGTACCAAAGTCGCGGTTGTCCAATGCGCAACAGAGCTGTACAAGCTTTTCAGCAGCACTCTTAGATATATCTCCACTGTTGAGTTTAGCAAATAACGCACCTAATCTCTTTGAGTTCTCCTCAATCTCGTGCCGCTTGGCTGGGTTTGCCTTTGACCCTCCCAATGCTTCTGATGTCTCATTGAAGAGTCTTGTCAAAGTTGTAACAACAGCCCTTTGCTCGGCTATATAACATAAAACCCACACAAGCAACTACTAGTTAAGTAGAGATGACTAATAGACAATCGAAACATGCACATTACTTATTCACCACATCCCTTAATTATCTTCAGTTTTGACATAGAGCCAAAGTTCTTTTGACACCAGAGTTTGGTTTGGTGTCATAAGATAACATAAGGGCTTTATGTTGCTCCGTTGGTCCTGGAGCAGGTCCTATCTGTTTTGCCCGAACCTCTGAAAAGCTACAGCATTTTGGGTGGGAAGGTGGAAGGTTTGTAGGGGTTAGGATGGGAGGGAGGGATAGGGGGTAGGATCCGAGCCCAATGGAACATCGTAGGGCCCCCAAAAGACTCGGTGTCATATTTACTACACCGAGGCTTGGTGTCAAAAGAACCGATCCGTTGTAGTACGTTTTTTTCAATATAAAGGGAAATGTGTCGCTAAGAATTGTCCAGATGAAAGAGAAAAGTATTAACCATTCAACTCCTTCCTTAAATGTAATTTTGGAATGGGCAAAACAAGAAAAGGGAGAAGATAGATAGGGACGCACAGAAAGCAAATAAATCATATTCACCAGTATAATAAATAATCTAACTATAGAAAAGATGGTCTAGGTGTTGGTCTACTTGTTGATACTTAATATACGTAGGATTTATCAACTGCATCGAACAAAAAGAGTGAAGGGATACCAGGGACATTAGAAGTATCAACTGTCTGCACTGTGGGAGGAGGAGGGGCAGGAGTTACATGAGGTTGGATTACTGGTGCTTGAGTAGGACTGGGAGGTTGCATCGGACTCATACTGGGCCTTTGAAATGTAGCAGGCCCAGGGACTGGAGTAAATCCTCTAGAACTTGAGGAAGGTGGTGCAACCTGGGGCATCAGCTGTCCAAAAGGTTGGACTGGAGATTGATTAAAGCCATATGCAGAAGGCCCTGGAGGGGCAGGAGGGTAACTAGTTTGAGCCGAACCCTGAAACCATGTGCAATGGAAGCATTAGAATGAACAGGATTTGTGCCCATCTTATTCTTTTCTTTTCATTATGAACTCTCATGAATGGTCATCAACTGATAAAATAGTGCTTTAAAAACATACAGAATACAACTGAGAACCCAAAGTTGGCAGCTGATACTGCTCAGCGTGTTTCAAAGCAGGGAGGGTTGTTGGAATGAATGGTTTCACAGAAGGTTGAGCAGGAACAGGTGTTGTGGTAACACTTCCCTGAAAGGCAAAAAATGTAAATATTACTATTGGAACTGGAATATTAAAGATCGACAATAGAACTAGTAGACTTGCAAACTGAAATTTTGCGGAAACTCAGACAAGAGAAATAAAATCAACACTCTTAGCTAAATAAAAAAGTTATTCATAAAATTTAACTCACTACAAATTATACCACCCTAGCAAATATAAATTCAATCCACCAAATGCAATTTCTAAATAAAAACAGAGAATATGTGCCTTATTGATAATAGCTTACTTCAGCATATCTATTTCTGCATACACTAATCCTGATTTTTAATGTGGCTTTTAAAAGCTGCTTTGCTTGTATTTCTTCAAAGTAGCTTTGAGTTTATTGGTGCATAGTGTACACATATTTACTCCCTCCATCCCATAAAAAGGGTTTTTTTATCAAAGCACAACTTTTAACTATAGTAAAGTGCAAATATTCAAAACCATAAACTCTAAACAACACCAAACCCAGTATAATCCCAACTTTGTTGGGCTTAGAGCGTTCATGATGTATGCAACCATAACGTTCATAAAAAAGAGAGGCTGTTTCTGTTAGATCGCTGAATGCACTGCTGCTTTTACTTCCCAAATCTTCATAGGAAGTCAGAAGCAAAGGAAGTTTAGTGTCCTATTTTAATCTATTCTATTATCTTCATAAAGCTAAAACATTGTTTTTTACTTATTTTCATGAATGAATAGAACATATTTAACTTGTTTGGGATACTTGAAATTTTAAAAACATCAGACACAATAAAAAATATATTTTTGTTTAAGTATGAGTCTTTTTTCAGGACATAATTAAGTCTCCAACAAGGATTCCTTTATGTGACAGTACTTATCATCAAAGCACATATTAAGCAGTCAATAAAATTAGGGCACTAGGTCATAATGATGTAAGTACCTGCGTAATGTGAGGAGCATGTGTCGGAACAAATATGTTTGGTTGTTGATTTGTGTGCGGTAGAGCTTGCTGGTAAGGGGCAGGGGAAACATATCCCCTGTGCGAAGGACTAAAAGAGGGTTGATATCTATCAGCATATGGACTGCTATGAATACTTGCAGGAAGCTGTGATGGCTGTTCCTGAGCAGGTGGACAACACATTAGTGAAAATAGTCATAATATCATAAATGGTTGGGCCACAACATAGATGATTTATAATGAATCTATTACTGGATAATATTGGTGAGCTGCATCAACCATGTCAAAACTTCTTTGTTCAGGGGGGTGTAAAGGCCATGTTTGCAAGTTAGGACTATGAACATTCATAGAATTCAATGTACTATTATCTGCAGAAAAAAAGGGTGAAATATGCAGACGGAATTTAAACTAAGATAAGTTGAAGTTATGATTGCATATATTTTAGATGCCAAAATGAGAGACCACAACACACGCATTGCCAAGGTTCAAACCTGGTTCAGCAGCAAGAGCAATACGCTCTCGTAATATAAGTAATTCGGGAGACAGTTCATCGGACCCCATAAGCTTCAAATACTCCATGGCTGTGGTTAGAAGCCCCTGACTTGCTAACATTTCAGCATACTTCTCAACCAGCTGGCACAGAGTAGCACTAAACTGTTTTTGTCCGGTGGCTAAAGCAAATACTATAATCTTTTCCATCAGATCCTACCAAAGAAAAAAGACAAAATTTGCCACGATCTGATTAATAATAATAATAATAAATAAATAACCATAATAATAATAATGATAATATTTTTATTATCAATTATAATAATAATAATTTAATGTTTTTAATGCAGTACAATACCTGAAGAAGATCAATATATGACTTTCCGTCAATCTTGTGTGTCAGGGTCCTTGACCATATCTCTATTGTTTTGTCAATATTCCCAGCACATATATAACAAAGTGTGGCTGGAAGTGTTTTGCCGGAAGCAAAGAGTCTTGAAGCGAGCATGTCACACAACAGTGTCCACTCATCTTGCTGAGCAAACTGTATGTCAGAGTAAAAGTACAGAAAATAGTTCAGCGCCAATAATGACCATTGCAGTCCTAAATGATGTCTATCACAATGTGGGTGGTGGGCACTAGTAGTTCAGTTATTGTGCTTTATGGGTACATGTGTAGGGGGAGTGTGGACTTACAGTGCAAAAGAGGGCGAGTGTTTCCTTCCAGGATTTCAATGGCCACACGTTTACAAGGCTTTTCAGGTCATTGTTAACCATTGCAGCAACAATCTGGCATACAAAAATTTTAGGGACTAGGGACTGTCATTAATACATCAATGTGGAAAGATTGCATGAGAATGCAATAAAATTAACCTTAAGGTAAGAAGAACGGCTTGTCTTCAGGTACTGATCGCGGGTACTTTCCCATAGGGAATTCCCGCCAACATGCGCAATAATTAATGCATCAGCCATTCTATTAGCAGATACACAAAGTGATACAGCAGTCTTGTAGTCCCCAATGACCAAAGCACGTTGAACAGCATCATCAAATGAAGAGTCACTCTGATCTGACCCATTAGTCTCCACTGGAGCATCGTCCAAACCCAAGGCAGCTTCATTAGTATCAAATATATTTGCAGATGATGACAAAGGAGTGTCTGTTCTGGGGCTTGAAAGGTTATTGAAGAAATCCTCCCCGTTATCTATTGGTTGCATCATGGTGTTGTTTTTTGTGTTATCCCATTCTTTAACAAGACCAGGGGTAGATACTTGTTCGGAAATCTCATTATCTACAGTGTTCTCTTTTTCTACAGGCTCACTGAAACCAAGGTGGGAAAGCAGCTTTGTCCTTGCAGTCCCATCATCTTCAAACATGACCTTCAGGAAGCCCCATGTTTCCCTTTCATCAAAAGATCTGTTTACAAAAATGAATGGAGTGAGATCTTAGAACAGGACATAACTGTGGGTGACCATAGTCCATGTTGCATGAACCAAATCATGGTCACTTCTAGAGAAAACTGTATGAAATCCTTTCACTCAATTGTTAAAGTTGCATACTCTGATTCCTGAGATTTTTTTTCACACAGAAGTTTAAGTGAAGATCTCTCCCCATTACAAAGTGCAGTCTCAAAGTAAGCAGATCGACTTGCCAACCCATGCTCAGTGTCTACCTTTTCCACATACACCTGAAAAAGAGAACATTATCCAATGTTAAGCTACACAAGGAAAACATATTAATAATTAACCCTGCTTAGCGCACCTCTGATGGTTCATCATTCTTATTAGTAGAACGAAATGAAACAAGCTTGCCTCCAAAACCAAAAGAAACTCCAGCTTTTCGCCTGTACCATCTTGGAGCTCTCAACGAAGCTGTGCCAAGGCATATTCAGTAACACCAAGATTTATGTTTGGGAAAAAACACTCCAGATAGAAATTATAATATTAAATAAAACAGTGCTGATGCACCAACAACGTGAAACCAGAAAATGTGTATAGAGATATACTCCCAATAATAGGAAAAAAGGAACCATAGTACTGATAACCCAACAATGTGAAACTCAGGAAACCTAGAGAAAATATTTAACAGTATACACTCTTCTAACTTTCATCTCACAGAAATTTTACACCACTTACATCCACAAGAGTCACCTTAGGATGCCTAGAGATATTTTAAAATATAATATTCATCTAAACCTTATTCCATTGTCTCTTCCTTTTGAGGACCGTGGGTGGAGATGGGTGTTTAAAGTAGCAAGTTTTCACATTTAGCATTTTAATATATACTTGGTATATGACATAGAGTCACTTCTTTACAGCTTATTTACAGATTATTTCAATTCAGCACTCCCTGATTAAATTACAACTTTTAGAACAATTCAGTTGATATACGTTTAGTTTAGAAAATTCCAGTTGAAATGTTAAAAAAAGAGACTCTTACGAGTTGATTATGTTCAGAGTTCTCATTTGGAATAGTTGGTGAAACTCAAACTAGTGTAGCACCCAGCCAAATTTCAAACATGAAGATGTTAAACCTCCCCACCAAACAAGTGAACAACTCATTGCATAAACATGATATACGCCCTCCGTCCCCAAAAGAAAGTTACTGCCTCCGTCCAGAAATGTTTTTCCCATTTGACTTTTCACGGTCTCCAATATTGCACTTTGACCATTAATATCTATATTTATCCCATGGTTGTCAAGTCGTCGCCTAGGCCACGACTAGTCGCCGACTAGTCGTCCAGGCGGTTTTGCCATGGCGATTTTCTCTCCGACTAGCGCCTAGGGCCGACTAGGCTACAAAGCGTGCAAAGCGACGCTTAGTCGCGATTATGCGCCGCCTAATCGGTGAAAGAATCTGGCCAAATTTGACCTAATCCATTTGACCCGACCCGACCCGACCCGACCCGACCCAAATTTCATTAATTTTTTAAATTTTTTATAAAACACGCCTCTTCCACGCAATCCATCCACAATCGACAGTCTGGAGTGTGGCGACTCTCTCTTCAGTTCCAGGAGTGACTTCCAGGCTTCCAGCGACTCTCCTCCATGGGTAAGATTTCTCAATGTTTACTTTGTTATCATTAAAGTATACTCTTTATTTGATTTAATTTTCATTGATTTGATTCATTAAACTATAGAGTATAATATACTTTAAAATTTTCAGTTTTCTTCAATTTTCTTAATATTTCAGTTTTTTTTTATTTCAGTTAATATTTTGGTTTTTTTCTTATTCTCGTATTTTAGTATTTCAGTTTTTTTCAGTTTAATATTTCAATTTTTTTCTGAATTCAGTTAATATTTTGGTTTAGTATTTCTTATTTTAATATTTTAAGTTAATATTTTTTTTCTTATTTTAATATTTCAATTTAGTATTTCTGAATTCAGTTAATATTTTAGTATTTTAATTTAGTTAATATTTTAGTATTTCAATTTTTTTCTGAATTCAGTTAATGTAGATATATATAATGTTAAAATTTTCAATAGTAATTGTGATTTGTCGACTAGTCTACGACTAGTCGCCTAGTCCACTAGTCTCCCCGTCATCGACTCGACTCGACTTGTCGACTTAACAACCATGATTTATACATATATATTTTATAAAAATTTAATATTTGAAAACTACGTTTCATTATGAATATATTGATATTAAATTTACATCATAATACAATGTGTTTTTTCTACAAATCGTAGTCAAAGTTTATAAACTTTGACCAAGAAAAGTCAAATGTGAAGAATATTTCCAGACGGAGGGAGTATGATTTAACTACAAAGGTTTAATAATGTAGTTGAAAATTGAAAAGTGTGTGGATAACATTAATTTATAAGAGATAGAAATGGTGAAAGCATCTTAATCCTTTCCTTTTATGGAAAGGAAAAAGTGGGAAGTATATTTTGAGATGTACAAAAAGGAATGTGGACATTTCTTTTGGGGATGGAGGGAGTATCATATAAGAACTTCAAAGCCTACGTGATCCATAACAATCACGCCTGACTTTGCATGTGTGATCCAAAACATTCACAATGGTAAGAGACTATCAATAAGTTTTTGCTGCTTGAGCTATGGAAGACAACCAAGACTAAAATATAGTAAGAGACTACATAAAATGAGAAGAGCCATGCCAAAGTCACAAAAGAGAACACAACGAAGAGAAAAAGACATGAAAGAGATGGAGAGAAAGAGATATGCTTAGGCCTTGTTATACCCAACTTTAAATTTGAATTATTCAGTCTCCATTCTCCAAATTCAGTTACGAGATTCTAGACTCCAGAATTTAGTTTGCATTAGAACTGCAACTGGACTCCAGACTCCAAACTCTAGTCAAAATTTAATAGGTAATAAAAAGGCCCTAACCAAGACTACATAAACACAGATTGGGGGTGAACACCTGGTTTTGGACTATGATTGGTTTTTTCTAAGAAAAATGTGCAAAAAATATATAATAATAAAACAAAGTAGGTTGTCACACACGAGGTGTGTGACCCACCCAACCAACCCAATATTGGGCTTAACCCATGCAAAAGAAGAATCAAGCAAGTCATTTTTATTTGTGAATGTGTCCGGTGAAACAGTTGGTCCGGTGATAGATGTAGCTTTTCCATCAGAGCGGTTCATGCCCATTTTCAATCCTATTATTCCTAGAATTGGTCCGGTGATAGATGTAGCCTTTCCATCGGTACTACATGTAGCTTTTCCACCAGGGAAGATGTCTTGTATGATAAACGTAATACCAATTACTAACTGTCATGATTTTGAGTTTTGACAAGAGAAGGAAGATAAAAATGCTGCATTGCTCCACTTTTCTTCTTTATTTCTCTTTCATGATAGCATCCCTTCCAACATGAGTGGTATAGAAGAACTACTAGTATTAAATTATAAATCTGTGCGAACTCTTCCCTAATAACCTTGGCTTTTGCTAGAAACAGTTGAGAGTATAGTAATGAAAACAATAGCATCCAGAGAGAATCAGTTTTGAATCTGATGTTACATTAGGGATGCATGAGGATTCCATCGAAAGCTTTCCAGTTTTGACTTCTAAAAGGATCATTGCTGCATTGATTGCCCAAAACTTCATAGAAGGTAAGAGGCAAGGGAAGTTTAATTTGCCATTTTGATTTAGTCCCTTTCAAAAGGAGGTGATTGGACATGACCAAAGTTTTGTGAGTCTTACCAAGGATATGACCTTAGATAGGAGCATAGAGAGCTAGGACTAGGATAGTTGGGTAGACATTGGGCCCTGGTGGTAGTTTCGGAAATTGTCATGTGCTTCTTTGTGTAGTGCTTTTCATTTCATAATGTTTTTATTTCATTTTGTTGTTCTTTCTTTACCCTAAACTTGTTAAGTGCTTCTTTAGCCGTCCGTACTATGTATTTTTTGCACATTGTGTTTCTCGCTGTGCTGGTCTCTCTTGGATACAACCTCTCTACTTTTCAGTAGAGGTAAAGTCTATGTGCACCTAGACACTACTCTCGAGGGATTCTATTGGGTTGTTTTAGTCCATTATGTACCTAAAACTAAAACATTGACAATAATGACTCTTTAACTCCATTGACAATGGATGGGTGTACAAACATCAAGACACGGATTCAAATTTAGATCAGCAGGAATAAAAAAATTAGTGATTTCTAATTATTGCAACTGTCTTCAATAATGCTAAACCCCATGGGCTGTTTCTAAAATTTTCAGAATTATCATTAGGTTTCAAATAGATAATACCTGCCGTAGAAGCACCCTGTGGAACACCACATCGACCACAGCCCTGCAAAATTACAATGTGTTACATCTCTCACACAAAAAATTAAGTCAGCAACCAAAACCCTGCAATACTAAAATCTGCTTATTCACTTCTCTCCCAATTCCGGAATCGCAGATATTATTTGAAGTAACCTTAATTTAAGAATTGACACAGTTCCAAAGTGATTACTACCAAGTGATGATGCAAATATAGTAATATTATACCACAATATATACCACCTGGACACTTTGTACTACATGATCTCTACCATGTAATAAATACCTCAATATTATAAATTTCCATCTTCCCATCAAATGAAGATGCTAATATAACACCTGGACACTTTGAGTACCAGTGTACATCAAAATTCCAATTAGTTCCTGCTGGCAGTTCAGAGACAATCTGCAGATTCAAATCAAAGCAAACTTTCCTTCAAACCACAGATAATTCTCCATTGCAGCTTTTTTTGACAACTTCTAAAAATGGGATTTAAAGAAACAAATGCTCATAATGGAAGCAGCTTGATATAAAGAGAATGCAATGCATGTGCTGCAGAAATTAAGACATCAGCGGCAGAATATATACTTTACCCACCTGATGGGAAAGAACATCCCAGCATATAGTTCGATTGTCTTTTCCACAAGTAAGCAAGTAGGAGCTATCCATCGGACACCAAGACATTGCAATGACACCTGATGAACAACAATTGGGTAAAGAGATAAAATCAATCTAGTGCAATTGATAACTATTGTAGTGAAAAAAAGAAACCATTAGAAGATGAAGCCTTTGGTTTAGGCAATTGGAAAATCAACACACTTATTCGTAAAAGAGCTCAGAGAAATGGCTAATCTCATCTGAGCTCATACAGAAGTTTGAATAACTTAAACTTTTGACATGATGAACTTGTAGTATGAGTTGTTTAGAATACTAGTTATTATTTTCAAAAGCATTTCAATACATTGCTCCTAGAGAGCAACAAATGTACATACTACGACTACATATGCAACAGCAACAACAACCCTATTGAATCCCACAAAAGTAGAGAGGGTGTGTGTACGCAGACGTTACCCCTACTCGAAAGTAGAGAGGCTGTATCCAAGAGATCCCAGCTCAAGTAACACATAAAGCATAAAACACGGGAAAAGGGTACCAAAGAGCATACTAAGGTGTACGAAGGGAAAAAGCAACAAGCAGAAAACACCTAGCAAAGAAAGCACATAACGACAAATGCAAAAACAACCACCAAACCCAGAAGCCTACCCAACTACCCTAGTCCTTGTTCTCCAGATGCTCTTTTCTAAGGTCATATACTTAGTGAGGGCCAAAAGTCTTAGGTCTTGACTAATCAACCTCTTTCCAAATTTTCCAAGGTCTGTCCCTTCCCCTACTCCTGCCCACCACCGTAAGTAGTTCACATCTCTGCACCAGGGCATCAATGACTGCCACCTCACATGCCCAAACCTCCTCAACCTAGCTTCCTGTAACTTATCCTCAATGGGTGTCACTCCAACCTGTCTTTGGATAACCTCATTCCAAATCCTATCCAATCTCGTGTGTCCACTCATCCACCGCAGCATCCGATTTCTACCGCATGCAGTTGGCGAACACGGGTCTTCTTAACCACTCAACACGCAGCACCATACAAAGTTGGTCTGACTACGGATTGGTAGAACTTCCCTTTCATCCTTATTAAAATCTTTTTGTCGCATACAACCTTTGAGGGCTGCTCGAATACAATGTGCAACACATCCGACTAACTCCCCATCCGCCTAGATGACCAAATTAAGATACCAAAATTTGTATCTATTAGGCACTGGATAGGAATCAATCCAATCTTCCACCTCTGATTCCTTCACTTGGCCGTTGAAGCAACACTCCATGTATTCGGTCTTTGTCCTACTCGGTCTGAAACCTTTGGACTCCAGGGAATGGTGCCAAAGCTCTAACTTGTTATCTAATGACTACATATGCAACATTTAATATTAGAGATCAACTTTCTAAAGCATAGATCTTGCTTCACCTAAACTAGAAACCATATTGGTTGTTGTTAGACCATTGAAAATTTACTAGATATTCATTTTGGTTTAATCCAAATATGGAGTAATATTACCTCTTCCCCACAAAGAATTTTAATTTGACTTTCACGATTCCCAATACAATGCCTTGAATATTAATAACAAATGTTATACTCCCCCCGTCCATTAATTTCTTTCTCACTTTCCTTTTTGAGCCGTCCAAAAATTTCTTTCCCGTTTCCTATTTCGGAAAAAAACTTTTAATGAATGTGCCATTATACCCCCACTTTTTCTACATTATTCACTTTACTCCATCACATCAAGGGCAACCCATGGAAAGTCTTTACACTTTTTAACTTTTCTTAATCTTCGTGCCAAGTCAAATCGGGAATGAATTTTTGGGACGGAAGAAGTATTTAATAAAATTTATAAACCCAGTATATTCTAAAATTACATTTCCAGTGAATCTAACGACAATAAAACTAAACAACTTAATTTTTACACTAATCATGATCAAAATTTATAGAATTTGACCACAACAGTCAAACTGTGACATTTTTTTGGGACAGAAAGTATAGTGCCTGTGATTTTAGACTTTTGAATGCAAAAACATCACAATATAGGTTACATGTGAAACTGGAAAACCAAGAAAATTAGGGCACTACCAACAGCAAACCACATACAAGAAGGGAGAGAAAAAAGAACTTCCTGGAGCATGTTCCAAATAGTTGTAGGCTTGCAACCAAAGGCTACATGGTCTGCACTATCCTACACATGCACTTTCCAACATTTCACCATCTTTTTTTGTATTTCCATTACTGATAAACCCACAAATTATACTCATATCTTTAGAATAAGAATCATACATATTAGAGTGTCTCTTCGCACATGAACTTGTCCACTCCATGTGGCTTGTGGACAATAAATATAATCTAGACTCTGTAAATCTAATCAATATATTCATATTCTCATTTCTTTCTCTTTTTTCAAGTCGTGTATCATTTCGAAACAACTCATTCAAAGTAAAACAGAAGCTGATAAGCATGAATACCCTTAGTATGTCCTAAGAACTCCTTCATCGGAGATATTACATTCCGCAAATCCCACATCTGCAGCAGTGCATCACAAATAAGTGATTAGAATTCAAAACACTTCAGAGTTTGTTTTAACAGAACAGAGGGAAACATGTTATACCATCAGAGCAGGTGAACTGTCTTCATCAGAGGCTACAATTAGTTGATTCGCTACATCAGGATGCCACTGCAACACAGAGCACCGCCTTTTAACAGGGTCTGAGAAACTGCAACATTCCACCAACATATGTCATACATTGAAATGAAGGAACTGTATACATATAGGAGTATGTCTAAGGATAAAGTTCTAGCCTTATGGCCGGCTTCTGCTTCCTAAGATCCCAAACCACTGGAAAAAAAGACAAAAAAAACAGAAGCACATTATTCAAGTCATAAAATAGATTTAAGTAACCCAAAACTTCTAACGCACCGGTTGTCCCATTCAATGATGTGGAAGCCAAGATATGTTGAACTTTGCTGTTCCAAGATACATATGAAATTTCACCTTGAATTGAGGATCCAGTGCCCTGCATAAATTTTCAGCATACTGTCGACATAAAGATATACATGGCCAGTTAAGCAAATACATATTTACAGGTACCAATATAGTAAGAAGAAATTATCAATTATTGACCCTAGATTTACCACAATATTTGTAATTCACCAAAAATCATTAGGGAAAGTAGTAAATAGACCCTCATACTAGACTGCAATCAACCACCCCTATAGGAAACTAAACAATGCTTCTGACTGCTTCCGATGTCCCTGCCCTGTTGTCCAGCAAAAAAATATTAAATCGCCGACAAAGGTCTTAGTCAATTGGTCTTGCCACATTTGGAATGGTACTTAAAGTTGAGACTACTTGTGTCTCCATTATGTTTATGTACTTTAGTTGTTAACTACTCCCTCTCCCAATTCATATTTCATGTTTTCCTTTTTGGCGTGCCAAACAGTCACACCGTTTTCACTATCTTCATATATGTGTCCACTCAAAGTGAGCAACATATATTGGGACGGAGGGTAGAACATAATGTTTGAATTACCTACAAAATAATTGTCATTGTTCACCACCAAATCTTCAAGAACTTGTGCAAAAGTGCATATCACAATTTATCCACATTGTAACTCTGTTAGCCTAAATGAATGATTATGTGGCACCTCAATTTGCCCATCCAATAAGTTTCTATCATCATATCCGGTGGAGCCAAAGATTCACTGTTTTTTGGCTTTGGGGTATGATGGAATAATGCAAAATGATTCCAAATCAACAGAAACCGGGCTTGGACCATGTCTGACTCTTTAACGGTCTACGCTTCTTTTAATAGTGAACTACAGAGTAACATTTAGTGAATGCAACTTTTGATGTTTATCACGGGTAATCTGGAAATAGTCGCTTTTTGTTTTAAACATAGGGGTCATTGCAAACGTCCGACCCCCTTACCTCGGGCAGGGGGCCTTGAGGCAGTGGGGTAATGTTGTTGTTTCTGCACAAGATTTTGACCTTAATGTTTGAAATTGCTTATTGCGGTTTTGAGGCATTTTTATGGCAAGGCATAAGGCGGAAGCCTCAAGGCGTAAGCCTCAATTTTAAGGTTTAAAAATATGAATATAACATATTTAAATATGAATATAGAACATTATTAGTAACATGATTAATCTATACACATTAAAAAAGTACATTGACTATTAAAAGGTCTCAAACATAACAAAAGTTGCATGAAACAATACAAATAGTTCGTGACCATGATGAACTTAAATCGAGGAATGCAAAAAAAGTTCATCGGTGCCTAATGACTTAAAATTAGGGTCCAACATATTTCATGCCGGGTCCGACATTTAAAAAATCTACCAAGATACCTAAAAAACATAATATTTAAAACTTATATTTAAAAAATGTAAAAGTTTGAACGTCAGAATTAATGAAAAAGTTCATGTACATGTTAGACAAGACCAGATCAAAGCAAAGTAGATTATTTATTGTTGTGAACTGTTTCAAGATTCTTTGTGTTCTCTAAATATAAATAGAGAACAAACCAACACAACTTTTACTAACCAACATAACTATTAACATTAGAAACTAAGCGTAATTGCCTTTAGATACTACCCAACTATTTTTTAAATTAATTAAATATGTAAAACACACTATTTGACACTATACTAGTTGACCCGTACATTGACTCATTACCCATTTGGTTATATGAGAACAAACCTGATTAAATCTAATAATCACGCCCCTAATCGTTGTTTGTTCACACTAATCTTCACGGCAATGTTGGTTCATCATCATCTTCAATCAAATTTGCAATGTGTTCCTTTTGGTCCCATTTTGGAAATTCATTGAGAAAATGCCCAAGCTCATTGCACTTGAAACACTTATGTGACTCTTTTCTCGCTGAAACCGACCACCATCCAGACCCCTGACCTCTACCTTGGCCACGTCCAAAGTCTTCTCGGTTTGAGCTCCAGCAACCACAATGCTGAGATTTGTGCTCCCGAACCTTCTCTTTTCCACCACCTTTAGTGAATAGTAGTTTACCATGTGTATCTCCTTCCTGTTGGCAACTGCTTCTTGAAACGGCATTGTGTTAATGTCGGCAAATTGTTCAATTGCTAGAACTATCTGTATGAACTTTTCAGGTACAGAACCCAAAAAAGCTTTCGAACCAATATTTTGTCTTCAAATGTAGACCCAAGGTTGCTTGCTTGTGTTGCAAGTTGACAAATTTTCCAGCAAAATCATCAAGTGACTCATTGTTCTTCATCTTTAGAGTCTCAAAATCTGATTCGACTGTCTGTAATCACACTGCTTTAACCCTGTCAACACCAACAAAGCAAGTCATCACAGCATCCGAAATTTCTTTCGCTTCGGTAAATTGAGTAACTTGTAACACGATCTCTTCCGAAAAAGCTTGAAACAAATAGGTTATTGCCATATTGTTCTTCTTTGGGTCAATTTCTGTTCCTGGTTCGATCACCTCCCAAATCCCATTAACATTAAAAATTGCTTTGATCTTCACGGCCTAGATAGTGTAGTTTGTATCAGTTAGAATTGGAATCTTAAAAGATAGTGAACTATTCTCCCTTGTAGTCACAATTTGTCTGTTGTCTTCCATTGCACGACTTTAATTCCTTTGACAATTTTCACAAAACTCTTAGTCTTTGATTCCTTCCCGTCGTAAGCCACGCTGTTGCTACCCCGCTGATTCGTTTTTTCGGTGCTGTTTAGTTGGAATGCTTCTGCCAAAGGAAACAAACTAGCCGCTTGCTATTCTTGTCCCAGGCAAAGAAGAATCTTGTCGAAGATTCTTGATCTGTTGTAGAGGAAGTCTCTAACACTTTGTTTTATGATCTCGCAGCTCTTCTGCTCCCGATCACACACCTCGTGATCACAAGACAGACCGCTCCCTTTGATCATTGGATCCTGATTGGATTGTCTCTCCGATACCAATTGTTAGATAGGACCAGATCAATGCAAAGTAGATTATTTATTGTTGTGAACTGTTTCAAAATTCTTTGTGTTCTCTAAATATAAATAGAGAACAAACCAACACGAATTTAACTAACCAACACAACTATTACAAAGCAACACACCTATTAACATTAGAAACTACCTGTCACTGCCTTTAGAAACTACCCAACTGTTTTTTAAATTAATTAGAATATGTTTAACACACTAACTGACACTATACTAACTAACCCGTACACTCATTACCCATTTGGTTATATGTGAACAATCCCGATTAAATATAACAGTACACAACTCAAAAAATGGAATTCAAAGGAAAGATACTTTCTGAGAAAAAACAATTACAAGCGTATTACAAAAGAAGAATTTACAGAAAAAAAACTTACCACTTACAAGAGCACTAAAAAAAATGGAATTCAAAGGAAAGATACTTCTTTAAATAAAATCACATATACAAATACCTAAGACGGAGTAGTGGGTTACACACTTACCTAGAGAAAATCGATCGAGATAAAGAAACGATGAAGACGCAGAACGCAGATGTCGACCCTCGTCTAGGGTTACGATAAAGTATTATAATGTTTTTTAAACTAAGTTGTCCGTAATTTTAAAAAATTGGGAAGATAAATTGCGCACGATTTCATAGCCTTGAGGTTTAAGCACTGAGGCATACGATTCTATGCTCCAAAACTATGCCATATGCGAAGAACTAAAATGGCGTAAAGAGGGATAGCAACAGGGTACAAATTTCAAACATTTGCAATGAGGCGCGCGCACCTCAAGGCGCGTTTCGCCACAATTTTTGAAACATTATTTGACCTGATCCAAAATGATGGCATGGCATCTTAAATGAACCCATATTGGATTGTCATCATTTCCAACAACATGATCATCTTACTCACTCAAGAACATATCGTATACATCCATACTGGTCTTGTAAAGGCTGGGTTTTCCTGAGGATTTCCTCATGTGAAGATTCATTTCCACCATTCATGGCCACGCGCCCACGCCCAACTTACAAGGTTCACCTTCAAGAGCCACCTTGATCAATGTTGGATGCCAGCTTTCTATGTCTCTATTTTGCATGATCACAGTTTAATAACTATTAGATGTTTTGGGTGTACTACACTCATTCCATCTTACACAACATAGTGGCAGAACTCAACGGAGTGGAGGAAACTTTTAGCCTCCTCATAACCCTCTAACCTCTTTGTAGGAAACCTCAACCTTCAACGGAAATCTCTAATTTCCTCAAATATAGAAGAATCAAGCAAAGCGGTGTTGGATTTCAATGTCGAGGAGCATTACGGGAAGATAGAGGAGCAACAATGGCCAGAGGGAAACAACTGATCTACAACGATGACTGGGCATCAAATTTATGGAAGAGTTTGCAGATTTAGATAAATGGACATGGAGTAACGATAGCCAAGGAGAAGCTTCCAATCCCCTTCTCGCAAAGTCTATGTGAAATTCAAATATTCAGATCTGTGATATTGATGATTGAGGCGATGACTATGGTGAAACGATGACGATGTTGAAGGAGGAGGAATCAGCATGGAAGGGGTCGTGAGGGTGATGAGGTAAAAAGCAAGAATGTGCATAAAGGGGTGATGATGATGGTAATGGTAGGAATAGAAGAGGACTAAGGGTATTTTGGGAAAATCAAACTGAATTTTGTAATCCATTAAAATTATGCCTGTTCAGACCTTGAAGAAAGATCTTGGGCAAAGGGATTATATTTTAACAACGATCCTTGATATTGTTTACTTGTTTGGGATGAACGATAAAAGAGTTTTTCTAATAGAACCAAGAGCCACCCTGATCAATGTCAGATGCTCCCCTTAAGAATGTCATTACCTTTTAATCTACCAAAAAATGCTATGTTAGCTCTCTATTTGCATGATCACAACTTGACATGAATTAGATGTCTCTTAATGTACTATCACTACAAAATGTTACTTAGCACTAGCCTTCACTTTCAATTGTTATGGGTCTAGTACACTCTTCCCCTCTCACACAATCCAAAAAACGAGTATGAATATTTTTAAAAAATATCCTCAATTTTGTTTGGGATGAATGATAATATAATTTAACGCAAATAGAACCATGTTACCTACAATCTTACCTTTTCATGCTATTCAAGGCTCTCTGGTTTGGCACATTTAAGGGGTGCAATGTAAGCTAACGATTATGATTTACGATGTGATCCTGGACCCTATGAAATGCATGGTTTTTCACATTTAATGGAATTCAAACGGCTAATTACGACTTTCAGTGGGTTCAAATGCTAATTAAGAATTTTGGATAAGCAAGAGACTAGAAGGGCTTATTTGACCATTTTCCCAAATCATCAATAAAATTTAGCATCATCAATAGAATTTGGCAGGAGAAAGAAAACCACATTCCCACATTGGGTCGAAACATAATTTTGATGCCAGACTATGATGATAAAGCGTTTAAGAGCTAGAGAGTCCTCTTCTAATCGTATCCATCGTTGATTGAGCGGAAAGAGTCATTTTGACAATGTTTTGGCTTCAGGTAAATAATGGGCAACATCAAAATGGTAAATTAAGTTTCCTCATCTTCTTACTTCATATGAAATTTAGGGAAGTTAATGCAGCAATGCATTATGAATTTTAAAGAAACTTCTCTGTTACCCACTCCCCCTCCCCAAAAAACAGCAAAGTTGGGATTATACAAAGTTTGCTGTTGTAGGTTGTTCTTCTAATCATACTTTCAACAATGAAAAATGAAACCTAGGGGAAGGTATGATACTTCAGGCTAGAGTCACAACTAGAATTGCTTGCAATTGCTTTTTTTCTAAGTAAGATGGTATAGACCTTTAGGGGAGGAAAATGGGTTGGTTGTTCAGGATGTGAGATGTCCCATATACATATTTCACCTTCATCAGCACCAGAAGCAAGGAGGTTTGGAGTAAAAGCATTAAATTCCAACCCATGAACCTGAAATATTTTAAAACGATAGATACGTATGGTATCTTCAGGTTTCAAACATAGGGGAAAGAAAAAACAAAGTATGCAAGATGCACAAATTTGATACTTACTGGCCCACTATGCTTTGAGAGGCGACTAACAAAAGCATTTTCACTAGCACCAGCACCAGTTTGATTTGCACAAGAGCTAAAAGGGAAGACAAATAAAATTAAGCAAGCACCATAGAGATAAGACATTGTTAACAGATTTTGGAATAAATCAATATTGACGAAGAAGAAATAAATCCAAAATGCTAGATTTGGAGTTATGGCAGTCGAAACAATTGTTGACTAGCTTGCTCCTATTTCCATCTTGTGAGAAATATAATCAATTGCTCAATTTTTGACACAGGTCAAGTGATCCAGGTCTTCCTCATTTCAAATGAGAAGAGCCCATATGATCCAATAATTCCCACAAAACAATTCTTCATAAGGTAATGAAATTTTTTCTCGGATTCCATAACTCAAAGAAAAATCATTAATAAACTCTAATTGAACCAATATCGTTCCAACCTTTCAAAAAAGAGGGCCTTTTACATATTTACCAAAACCCCAAAATATGAAAGGATGAGAGACTGTTACGGTTGATGAAAGAGCACATTGATTCAGATAAATAAGTTAGGCACTTTCCAACTCTTCAAAAAAGGTTACAGTTCAAAAATGCAGTAATTTCCGATCAATGACTGACATTTAGCACAAAAAAAAGAGTTAAAAAAATCAATACCTCATGATTATCAGAATGGTTCAAATCTAGAACTACAGATTTGTTGAAACGGATTATAAAACAGACAAAGAAGTATTGGACATTACAAGATCAGAGGCTTCGGATTCCACAGCCCAATGTTGCCATCAACAAGTCCACCAGCTATGAGCCCGAAAGAATACTGCTCGGAATTGGGAAGAGCTTTCCCCCAAGACAGCCTGTTGAAGCGCTCGGAGCTAGGAGCGGAGCCAGCCGGGATGAGCTGCTGATCATCTGATCCAAAGTCAAACTTGAAAATGTCGAGGTTGGCAGACGAACTGAACGCCAGATCCACCGCCCCTGCCATTGTCCCGGCCGCCAAGTACGTGCCCTCCGGCGCGAAAGCTGCCGTGGCCGATCTGTTGACAACTTTTACATACGCCATGGCTCACCAAATTTAGCGATCAAACCAACTATAGATATTTCCCGAGGGCAATATGTACAGATCGTTGATGATTGGTACAACCCAATGTTAGGGTTTATGGGATTCGCAGCAGAGAGCGATCGAGACAAAGAATTAAGGGGTATATCTTGTGGAGTATTCAGTTACTGATGAACTTCGGGTTTCACCTTCTCACTGTGCCCCCGTCTGTTCTGTGCTTTTCGTTCTCTTCCCCCAAATCATATTCAGTTGCTTATGATGTAATTAGACCATGTCTAATGGTTCGGGGCGTTTTTCCCGGTTTGGAGCCATCTTAGCAAATAATTTTAAATTTTTTATTGAGTAAATTCCATAATTGGTCTTTTATAACAGGAGGTTTTCATATTTAGTCCTCTTTTATCAAATATTATAATCGTAGTCCTTTTTTAAGGGTGCCTTTTCACACATGGTCTTTTTTTATCTTCCGCCATGTGAGTGTTAATTTAAAGCCTAAAAGTATAATTTAATATCAACATTATGTCTAGTGACGTGTTCTGATATTGGTTAAGAGTATAACACAAATATAATGACTATGATTGTAGGCTAGGATTCCAACGGAAGACCACATTCGTAGACTATGGTTGTTGTAGAAAGCGCATGTAATTCACAAACGATACAAATGGAACAACCTTTGGAATTGTGTATTACCAAATAGATATATTATCAATGTGAAATTACACTTTTAGCCCTCAAATTAACTCCAACATGATAGAAGATCAAAAGAAGGACTATTTGTGGAAAGATGTCCATAAAAGAAGGATCACTGGGGTAATATTTGATAATAAAGGACTAAATAGGGAAACTCCCCTTTTATAAAGGACCAAATATGGAATTTACTCTTTTTTATTTAACTATTTTAAAAATAAAAATAAAACTTGAAAATGATTAATAAAAACATAAAAAGAAAAAGCCTTTTAAAAGAGATTTATTTATTGGGTTTCAGCTTTGGCCTTTCACCCATCAAGACTTTGCTAGCTAGGTAACAGCGTTTTCGATTAGCGTTAGACTTTTGGATAAAATTTTAATAGTGCAGATTAATTCTGAAAATGCTAACGCTAAATGTTACCGTCGGATAGCTTTTTCAAAACGCCAACGCTAACGGGGCTCAAGTATATCACACATTCACACTCCTGATGCTTTGACCACATTTTACGCTTGAGGGGCATGCAGATGTGTGTGGCATCATTTGGGCCCATTAGGGCAACCACATCAGGCGGTGGGGGAATTAAAAGGAGACTTCTCTCTTCCACATCATCTTTAGGGCATCCAATATACTTCTTCTATACTTCTCTTTATTCCAGACATCAAAAAGACTACTAAAGATTGTTATCTCTTGCCCACAAAATTAAACTCAACACTCTAATATAACTAAAAGTGGAAAGAGATTGGCACATGGCATGGAGTGATTCGACAATCCTTTTCTCTTTTTCCCTGTGGAGGACTCACTCTCCTTGCTTGTCATGGAAGATCCTTAGAAGATGTACTCCTCTCACTTCTCCATCCAATGAGCTAACCTCTCCACAATAGTATTTCTCATTTGCCATTCTCCTCCATTGAATGTGGATGGCCTTACACATGATCTTACAAAGAAAGTTTTCAATTTAGGAAAATACCCATTAATATTTGTCATAGCTTGTTAGTTAATAAAATATAATACGCGTAGTATACTTACGTACGTATAATATGCATATAATACTCACGTATGCATATGATTTTCAAAAAATACTTTAAAGTGTATGTATATTTGAGATTATACCTATAATTATGTATAATACATATTGAATGGATATTTCATTATAATTTTTTTGAACAACTATTAATTTGTTCCGACAAATATTTAAACAAAATAATATTTTGTACCAACTACTTATACCATACTTAATTATTGTCACAAAATTACTATGAAAAATGTTACATTTGTGGATGGGAAAATGTATTAATTGATTCAAAATTTGAAAAGCCTCTGTCTAAGTTACATAGGAATGAGTTTTAGAGAATCCATACCCAATGTGATATTATTAGAGAAGATCTATTGGGACCCATAAGAGGTTGAAGGATGAACCTACAAATGGCCAACTGATAGAAGAGGAAAACAGAATCAAAAAGGAGCTTCAAAATAATCTTAAAACTTCATACTTCCTTCGTTCCTAAATAGATTACAATTTTTTTCTCTCCTCTCGATAACTTTTGTTTGTTTACGCGATTTCATTAAGTATTTGATGAAGTAAAATATTTTTGTCACCTCTTGTTTTGTAGAATTTTTGACATAGTTTTTTAATATATAATTTTTATATCTTATTGATACCAACTTGTAAATAAAAAAATTCAAAAAATAGAAAATTTCACTCTGTAACCCGCAATTTGTAAACAAATTGGGGACAGAGGGAGTATTTTCTAAAGTTCCAACACATGAAACAATTGTGGATCATTGAGAGTGACCAAGATACAACCTACTTTCATGCTTGGATAAAGAAAAGGAAACTACACAACCATATCCTCTCCATCTTAGACAATAAAAGAAACACAATTGTAGAAACTAAAAGAATTGTAGAGATTTTATTAAAATTCTATAAAGATCTATTAGGATCTTAGAATATGACTGAGGAGATAGATCCTAATGTCATTCAGGAAGGAAATACCATGAGCATCCAACAATAACTGGAACTTATTAAGCCTATCAACCCACATCAGATCAAAAATATTGTATTTGGTATTCCTGGTACAAAGAGCCATGGCCCTAATGGATTTGGGAGTGGGCTCTTTAAAGAACAATGGCCTATGGTGGGACATTTGGTGACTGATGCAGTAATGGAGTACCCTGAATCAGATAAATACAACTCACCTGTATTTATCCCAAAGAAGAACAACCTAAATCTACATCTGATTGCAAACCAATAATATATAAGATTATTTCTAAAATAATCTATAGTAGATTAAAGGAAATTATTAAAGTGGTGAACTAGATTAGGGGGAGGGGAAGGGAACTGCTTCACAATGTCCTACTATGCCAAGAATTGATGTCGAGAGGTTATGGAAACTCACTTGCCACACGGTGACTAAGTTATTTTAAATTGGTTGAAATATTAAATGTCACCGTGAGGCATTTCATTTTTTCCTTGACATTGCTAATACTCTTAATCTACTCCGTAATTCACTAAAATAGTGACTTTTATTGGCAAATTCTAATGTGTTATTAAGGTCAATGCTAATTTTATGAATCTTAATCCATTGATATTTGATACAATATTATAAAAGAACCGAACTTTTAGCAACAAAAAAAAGAGAAAAGATTCACTTGTCATATAATGAAAAGTGTGCGGAGCTCCATATTTTACATGTACATTGTCATATTTTCTTTGTTTAATTACCTATTCAATTACGAAGACTTTAGGGTTATTTCCCACATCCTGGGCCGACTTGAAGCTTGAACCAAATCCCCCATTTGGTATAATTCCGTTGTTGCTCCTCTTTGGACCTTTTCAATTCCTCAATCCTCTTGGCAGAGTGGACTGCTGGCCTGCCAAGCCGCTCAATCTCCAACAACTCCAAGTTATTGCCGAGATCAATTGGAATACATTCCAGTTTTTCACAGTTCTTAAGCACCAGACAGCTAAGGCTAGGGAGATTATCAGCAGAAACCACCCAAGAAACTATATCAGCATTTATGATGTGCAAGAGTTGGAGACTTGGGAAAACATGATCAACAGCAGCATGCCAGGTGGTTCCACTAAATGCATTGTCTTTCAACTTGAGAACCTCCAGGCTTTTAATGCCAACCAATGTGGAGATATGCTTCCAACCCAGGAATGTATTTGATAATGTCAGCCTTCTCAGATTGGGAGGGAAACACCTGGAGTGAGGGAGGCCAACAAGGCGAAACTCAGAGTCGTCCGAGACTAGTACTACATCATTTACCAGCTTCAGCTTTTTAAGACGACCCAAGTTTTCCATCGACATGGTACTAATTAAAAGAGTGGAAAGTCTCTCGCGAATGCCCAACTCTTTGAGGTTTCTTGCCCTTTCGGACACCTTTTTCGTGCAAGATTCCGGCGCCAATCTGCTCAGTGTTTTAAGGTTTTCACCACCCGCACCGTCCCATTTCGGGTCCTCCAAGGCAATGGCTGCATTCATATTGAGATGTCTCACCGGTACATTTTTCATATGTTGGCTTTCATCGTAATGGAACGAGCTGAGACTTTGTCTCCACCACAAGAGTCTGTAGATTCCATAGTCGTGAGAGCCACATACCTCAAGTGAATCAGTTTGGTCAGCTTTGCAGGAAAGTGATGGAATCTGATGGATGTTGACTCCAAAACCCTGAGCAGAAGGAAGGCATCTGGGATTGCTGACATGTATCTAGCTAGCATCCAACAAGTTTATGACAGACTCCTTGTTGAAACACAGGAAGGAACGAATTCGTGGGCCGTTTGGTTTCTCAGAGAAGAATTTAATGGGATCAAAATGGAAACAAAGGCGATGGAAGTTTCGCACCTCAGAAACCGGAGGATCAAGTACTCCTTCCTTATTTTTCCTAATTTCTTGGAACAAGTTCTGTTCCAGAGCGATTTTCCTGCAAAACTCGCGAATCATATCATGAACCCGACATGTTTTTATCTCCCCCATTGGGTTTTTCCTGTCAAGCATGAGTAAGTTCCTGGTGACCAAATCACTCAGGCTCTGCTCTGCAACTTCTTCCAAACTTCTCCCTTCCATGGGGCGCACGAACCCTTCTGCAATCCACAAGCGCGTCAGCATCTAAGCTGGGACCACGTGTTCTTCGGGGAACACAACCATATGGAGACAGCATTCCCTCAAGTGGTCAGGCAACCTGTTGAAACTCAACTCCACAACATCTGATATCCGCCTCTCCTTGTCGTTCTGTATGAACTTGCTCACATTTTCAGACACATTCTCCCATTCTTTTTTAAGGAGCCGGGCTGCGCGTGTTTTCACAAACAAATCCACAAGAATTCCTCCCACCACCACGACCATGAGTGGGACTCCATAACACTGGCCGGCTATCTGTAACCCAATGTCTCTCAAGTCCAGAGGGCAACACCTGTCTTCTTCTTCTCCATTATTATTCCCAAATACCACCAATTCGAGCAGTCTCCAACTTTCATCTAGTGTAAAGAAACGCAACATGTGGGGGTCCGTGCAAACTTTAACACGTCCACCAACAATCTTGTTGCGACTGGTGATCATGACTTTACTCAACCAGTTGCTACTAGGAAGCACGTTTTTTATGACTGACGTTCCAGTCCTCAGGGCTCCACACATCATCCATGACTAACAAGAATTTCTCCTTGGACAAACACGCACGAAGTGACTAGGCTAATTCCTCATCACATAGGCCGGACATCATAATGTCGCTGCTGCTGCTGCTGGTGGTGGTGAATTTTCTCAAAATGGTAAGAAACACATCTCGGCTGTTGAAACTCTGAGAAACATATACCCATATCCGGATTGGGAACTGATAACAGATGTCTTTGTTCTCAAATATCTTCCATGCAAGCGTCGTCTTCCTCAAGCCAGGCATACCTATGATGGAGATGACATCCAGCTCCTTTTCTTCTTTCATCAGATACCCTATTAATGTTTTTTCCTCATCTTCAAAACCCACAACTTTGTCTCGTCTATGGACTGATCCTGTGGGGAAGGTACATAAAATATAAACAAACATTACAAATTGCTACTACGTATGTACAATGCAGCATATATAAAACAACCTAACCGCAGCGCCAATTCTTGCTACCTAGCTTTTTCAGATGAGTGAATTGCTTTTTGGATGTGAAAAGGGTAAAAAATTTATTTCATTAAACTTAATAGCCAAATTAGGAAAGTGAAAAGAAACAAGAAAATAGCTCAAGAAAGAAAGTGAGAAGAACCAAAGAGGAAGGAAGCCACGAAGGAGTAATTATTACTCGGGGTAATATACATAGTAATATAAAGAGCGGACGACAATTAATTTTAGAGTAAAACATATGGAAAGAACAAAAATATGACATTCATGTAATTATATTCAAAATAGGACCGACAATATCATTAATGTGAAGGATTCACTATTTTTTTGGGTTCAGGTAGCACTCAATGCACCTTTCCATGCCGATCGGTTATCTAGATACAATCGTTCTATGATCTAAGGTAATGTTGTTGTAATGTCAGTAATGCCAACATATAAAACACAAAAAACATTGTAGAAAGCCTATATAAAATGTCACATTCTTATAACAAAATAGTATTATTTTAGAGATAAAATGGTGTCACTTCTATTTTGGGGATAAGACATATGGTTTTCTCCTATTTTAGGTGACTTATTTAATATAAATATTTGAGATATTATTTAAGACCTTTCATATTTAAATTAATTATATATTAAAATTAACCAAAATTATTAAAGACTTGACTTTTTTATTTTTATCAATTTAAATTAGAGATATATTATTCTTTTAAAAGAATACACAGTGGATGGTTATAATATATATACACCAAGAACCCAGTAGAATCCCACGAATGTATAGAGTCTGGGAGTGGGTGTACTATTGTACGCAGACCTTACTTCTATTTGAAAGTAGAGAGAGTATTTCTAAGAAACCCGTAGCTAGCTTGAGCTACATAGAAAAGTTAATAAGATTAGAATCTTATAAAACACGCAATGTCAAAAGGCAAAAACTATTACTTAAATCAAAATGATTGCCTCAATGCCTTGTCCTAAATCTCCAAACATTCTTGTTTAAAGTTATATCCTTGATAAAGGTCAAAAGTCCTAAATCATATCTAATATATAAAATAATAAAAAATTAAATAAAGTTTTATTTAAATTAACTTTAAAGGATTTAATAGAAAAAACAAAAAAGTAAGATGAAAGTAAAACAATATTAGACTTAAGAGAGCAAGTAAAATACTATTGTAGTCAAGAAAAATAAAAAGGGAAAAAAGAACAAAATTAGGTTTAGTACTTGTAATCTATTGGTGACTTGAAAACCTCTTAGAGTTTTATTTGTGTAAAACAATATCAAGTTAGGGATACTTCCTCATTACGAAAATGATCTTCTCATTCTACTTTTTTTCGTTCAGAAATGATCTTTCCATTCTACATTTTTTTAAACTCTTCCAAAACAACCCTCTTCTTCCTTTCTTTCTTTCTCTTCCTTTTTTCTTCCATTCTTTCCTTCTTTTTTTAATCAGTGACTTCTTTCTTCGCCTGCTCTTTCTTCGACCGGCAAGGATCCCCCCTCTTCTTCTTCTTCTTCTTCTCTCTTTTCCTCCTCTTTCTCCCATCCGCACAGGTCCTCCCCCTTCTTATTCTTCTTCTCCTCCCTTTTTCTTTTAGATCTAAACAGATCTGTGCCCAAATCACCCTCTACTTCTTCATCTTTTCTTCTTCTTCCCTTCCTCCTTTGTCTTCTCTTTCTTCCCGATCTGCGATGGTGGGGGATGGCGGATTGGCGGCAATGGTGGGACTAGCGGCGATGGGGGTGCTGGTGGAGAAGGTGGGGTTGGCGGTGGTGGTGGGGGTGGCAGTGAGGGACGAACCGGTTGTAGTGGAGCTGGCAGCGACATGGTGGTGGTAGAGAAAGTGGGCTTGGCGGTGGTTGTGGTGGGGGATGGCGGCGATGAGGGCTGGCCGAAATTGAGATTGGGCAATCTTCCTATATACAATGGTAAGAGGAGCTTATGAACAGTGTTCCCGCCATTTTCTCCTCCATCAGTTGGGCCGGACTGGGCTGATGTTAATGGGCCAATTTTTCTGGTCTTCTTTTGGGCATGCGCCTGACAGTTTATGGGGTTGCGGTGCATCTTTATGGGGCTGCGTGGTGTTGGGCTCAATGAAATTACTTTATGTCTATTCAATTTAGTTTATCCATAAAGTTGCATTGGAAACAAAAATTTAGTGGTTCCATAAAATTATTTTTAGTGGTTCCATAAACTTGCTTTGGGAAAAAAATTGAGTGGCTCCATAAAGTAGATGAAAAAGTAACTTTGTGTCAAATCCAACATTATATCCCATACCAATCTCACAATCCTGATAGTATATATAATAAGCCATTCTCGGATTTACCAACACCACAACTCATAGTCCTACTTTTCTATTTCTCATTCAATCTTTCTATTTTTCTCATTAAGCATCTAGCTCTCAACAAAAATGGTGTTTCCTTCTTTACAT